GACCAAGTCACTTGGACGCTCCTCAGTTCAGGTAATATGATTGTCAAAGCAGAGTGACTCAATCCACTTCCATTTGCTGAAACGCGTTTCAAGCAACAAAATTCAATTACAAGACCGCTCTTTGTTTTTTTAGGGAATCATTACAACAAACAGGAGTTCATTCTCATTTTTGTCCAGGGGACGAAAAAGCAAACGGAGGGCCTGGATTTCCGATTTCGTCCAAATTTGAAGTGAACCAGGCCAGGAGAGTACCTGGCATAAGGCCCCCAAAAGCCATGCCAAAGGACCCCAAAAGGGAAACTGATAGCAGGCGCACTCCCTGAGTTTCTTGTTTGGACTGAAGAGTCACTTTTGGGGGTTGGCTGCCATTTTTTAAGGAGCAAGCAACAATTGTGGACTTGTTTTTGACCAAACTCGATCGGACGTGAGAAGGGGATTGGCGCATTGCCAAAGGAAAGGCTGTGTCACCGTGATGGTCGAGCTTAACGATGAGACCCATGAGCACATCTTCCCCATTGCGACTTGGCCTTGCACCGGTTCGACCTGGTTTTCTGGTTTCTTGGGGCTAAGACGGCTAAGAGTAAGTCCACATAGGTTTGTCTCTTACGGAGCCCCCAAATGGGTTTTGGTTTTCCGTTTGCTTTCCCCTCACACCACCCCTTACCCGGGTACCCTCAAAACAGCACTCACACACAACCTGTTGGTTTCCCTCAATGGTCCCCACACGGATCAAAATTGAAGGGTTTTCTTTTTTTGGACCTCCACAAGTGGCCGTTTAGTTGGAACGTAGGAGTCACCCCTTTCTCAGTTGGACCAACAGGCACGCCCAGGCAAAGCAAAGCCAGTGATTCCGCTCGCAATTAATGTCCCTTGGCCCTTGATCTTTCACATGGAGTTAGCAGTTCTAGTCATTTGAGTATTCCAAAAAAAAAAACACTCACCCCTGAGCAACTTGGATGTTCACTATGCTTAACTAAAAGCTATGGATACGCAAGTGGGACAGCGGGGTGGGGGTTGACATAGAACTAAGGTTCTAGCCTAGTTGCTTTTAAATGGATGTGTCTTTTGGTTCAGGGAGCCCTTTAGGCTGTTCTTGCAGGAAAGTTCCGTCATTCCGACACAAAGCTAAACGAGCAGGGTCCAAAACCAGTTCTACTACCTGGTTTATAGGCCAAAATCAGCTTTCATATTTACATGTAGAACCAAAAGTCGGGTTTCGGGCGCGGCTCACATAGCTTGAACATCCAAGACTCACTTCCTGGGTTCCTGGGCTTTAGTCAGTGGGGAAGGCCATCTTAGAGGTAGGTAAAAATGAGTGGTTACTCTTTTTGGCAAATGCACTGACCAGTTTTTTTTTTTTTTAAACTAGCCCCGGCTCGGGGCTTCGCCTCGGACAGGGGACTGGTTGGTCGGTCGGTCGGTTGGTCGGTTGGTTGGTTTGGTTGATGAGGGAGGCCTTGTGCTGAGCCGGGGCTAGGAAAACGCCGGGGCTGGTAAAGAAGACACCACAACCCACTGGATCGGAAGTGAGCGACACAGGATCGCTCCTGGGTGGACCATGTGGCGATCCTGAACCGGCAAGGCGGGAAGTCGAGGGAGGGTCCTGGGCTGGTTCCATGTGAACGGACAATATTGGTTGCTCATTTTCAGAGGACAAGGGGGGCCTACCCCTATCCAATTGAACCACTTTGTAATGGGGCGCCCTTGGACATCATTGTCCACCAACAACTTTGAAGGTGGTTCCCCACTAAAAGTTCATACGTGAGCCAGAACCACCCAGGTCGATGAAGTTGCGGGACAGTCCCAGCCACAAACAGATGCGGACATCCACCCTTTTGATTCTTTACACGGGATTAGGTAGACCATGTTAAGGCCAGGTTTTGGGGATTCCTAGTGTGCCCCTAAGTATGTGAGCAAGTGACAAAACTACTTTGGTGGTAGGGGAGATGGTCATGGCTAGGAATATGTCCTTTCAAGACCCAGCTTGTTTGACAACATGCATGTGCTTCTCCCTTGTGTAGAAATCCATTTCGCGGTGCCTCTCAAAAGAACAGCCTCTTCCATGTGTGCTGATTCGTGATTTCCTTCAAAGGCTGATGAGTGACTTTTTGCTCCTGAAAGTCTGTCGTTTTGGACATGTCCCTTGAAAATAATCTCTCATGTATTTTAGTGTGTCCAGTTGCCGCTATAGTTGCTTGCCTCTAGGTTTTGTATGATGGCTTCTGGTTCCCTTCCATGGCTTGCCTGGACGCAGAGGGTTTGTGTTTGGTTTGCTGCAATTTACACGTGAGCGGTGCCCAAATCCCCTATAGGCAATTTTGAGTAGGTGGTAAGGCCTTTGTGTAAGCCAGCAGAATTGTAGCCATTTTGCTAGAACATGCAGGCAGCTCGGGTGAAACGGGCACAAGGAAATGAAACAAGTAATGGAACGGTTCCTCTTCAAGGAATCATGAGCATCGCCCAAAGTCCCATCGGCCGTTTGAGTAGGTGGTTCTGGAATGGTTTGTATAAGCCGTCATGATTCGCTATGAGCATCTTGCTGGAACCAAAAGTCAACATTCTTTGGGCACTGCTCTCATGGCATGATGGAGGTTGAGACACTGGCAAGCCATGAAGGACACCACTAAACAGATTCTACTGTCCCACTTTCCCGTGGTCATTTGGCTAGGCCTGGATCTCAACCCGAATTTCTGCATTTGGGTATTTGTTTGAAGCTCGGTACCATTTCGCTTGGTTCAAAGGGAAGCCAAAAGGAAGCATGAAATCCATTTGTTTGGTTACTTTTCCCACATGGCTTTGAAGTTAAATAGCTAACCACCTGAAAAATCTGAAAAGTGGTTGGCGGACATGAATCCCCACCATGATGTCCACCATTTTGGAGGGTAATACAATTACCAGTAACCTCTCACGTCTCAATGTGGCTTCAAGGTGCGCCACCGCGTTCTAGCTAGTTAGCCCCTATGAATTCGCCCACACGGTGACCGCTCCCCTGGGCGTTTGAGTAGCGGAGGCTTGCCCTGGCCGCAGCACGACGCCTACGCCTTCTTCGACACCTACGGCCTGCGCCGCGTCAAGCGCCTCGGCTCGGCTGAAGCGGCCGGAAGCGCGGAATCGAGATCGGCACCCCCGTGGCGGGGGGACCAGCTGGAGTGCCTAAAGGACACAAGGTGAACAAGTGGACCCCGGATCAAGCAGCTCCTGTTGATGAACAGGGGATGTCCCCTTATAGTGGATTTTGGAGCGAAACACCCCCAACTGTTGATAGAAACGGTGGATTTGTCCGGGGTCAACATCATGTGTCAAGTAGGGGAAGGCGATGTTTTCCTTTTGGTAGTCCTTATAGTCCTTCAAAACCATCTCCAAAAAAGGGGGGTACCCTCAGAAAAGGCGCTGTTGGCGAGCAGTAAATGACAGTATTGAATGGCTTTGTAAACGTAATCCCTTCCCATTGCGTACTTACAAACATCGTCTTGGAGCGGCACCGACCAGCGAGCAAAAACTCACAAAACTGGACACCCCAACCCGGAATTGGGGACCTGCAAGTGGTTTTGTTATTGGGTGGGTGAGCTTTTTCAATAGACAGCCTCCCCTCCGAAACTGGGATCCTGTTTCAAACGATTTACATTTTGAGCTTCACTATGGGAGTGTGTTTAAAGTGGGGGACCCTCACAGCGGGGGTTTTCTCTTGATTCAAGGCTGAATGTATGAACCGATCGAGTCACCAATCTGGGCTGTTCAAAGGCAATCCGCAAGATCCTTACCTTGTGTTGTGAAAGGATTCCCCACGGTGGTTTTCCGGTAGGGATTATGACCATCCGGATTGGCCAACATTTTGACTTGCTCAGTAAAATCGAACGCATCACTTTTGGTTGTGGCCAAGGGGCCAACCAACAGTTTTTTTTTTTTTTTTTTTTTTTTTTTTTTTCGCGAACATTGGCTAAATCGCTCCCTAAAGGAAACCAGAAGATGGCTCGGTTTTTGCTCTTCCCAGCCCAGGTTGTTTTTGTAAGTAGCAAACATGGGCCCCCCATATTTCGGGTCCCAAACGTCATGTGCGCCCACCAAGAGGAACAAACAAACGGCGACGCCAGATCAGAAGTGCGCCACTTCTGACCGTCGTCCTTCGGCTCGGGGGCTTTTTACGGTCACGGTGACCGCAGTTGAAGGATGGCAAGTACCTTTGGACGCTCAGAAATGGGCATGTGTCAAGATAGGGGGGCCCAAAATGGTTTGCTTGTTTAATGTTTTCCCTTCAATCCAGAGTGAAAAAGGTACAAGCAAGAAACAAACACATCCAAGAACTACTCAAGATTCGCGTAGCTCGATTCCGTTGCACAAGGATTTGTAGCTCAACGATCTTTTTAACACCTCTAGACGCTAACAAAGCCGTATTGTTCGATTGGACCCACATAGACATAATAAGACACAATAAGATAGACACAACGCCCAAGGTGGGTGGTAACTTTTCTCCACCCCGGTTCTTCTCCGACTTGTCAGGGGTCCCAAACTTCGACAGGATGGAGGCCTATGGCATGGAGCGTTTGAGCGGCGTGATGGATGAGATCCGACAGAGCACCGACACCGAAGGCACGAAAGATGGGCCGGGGGGCCGGGCAAACGCCGTGTCTTAAATAGAGAACTCAAAAAAAAGCTGGCTGGTTTCCTTTCGGCTTCCCTTTAAAGCAACCCAGACACGAAGACAGCCCCAAATGCACCCAGGAAATAGAGGGTGGGGGTTCCGACACCGTTTTGAAAAAGGTTTTAACCTCAAACAGCCCCTTTTTGAGAGATCCCCGCAGCAGCTAGGAGCCTTGGGTGGAGTCATGGTTTTGGCTTGGGGGGTATCAAGGAAAGCCTTGAAGGGCGGGTGACTTTGAGAAGATACCAAACCAGTCTTTACCGGCAGAGTCACTTTGTAGAATGATAAGATACGAAAACCAGTCTCCGGCAGTTTTTTGAGTCGGGGGCGGGCGACCCATAGACCGGCCAACTTTCGACTGCCCGGAGGTTGGGGCCTTGGAGTTTTTTGAGTCGGGCCCTTTTTTCCCACACCACCTCCCCCAACCCTCCTGACTTGCCCCCAACCCTCTCCCAAGCTCCCATATATTTGGTTTCATTGTGTTGAACTGGGCGCCACATAGCCCAGATGCACTCGTTTTTCAACCAGGAGTTGGCAAATGTGTGCAGCTTCCAACCCTCCTCCCCCAATGCGTCCCCACCCCATGCGTCTCCCCCTCCCCTCCTTGCCTCCATGGCAGGTGCGGTGCTGTACCTGGAAAGGTCCGACGGCCTGGCCGTGGGCCTGGTGAAGGTCAAGAGCCCCGCGGCGAACCGAAATCTCATCTCGGGCCTCGGGGCCTCAAGCGGCAGGTTCCGTGGGGAAGTTTTCTCGGGGAAAAAAGGGCGGCTTGGGATCTCCATGGAGTTCCGCTTTAAAGGGAGGGGCAAGAAGTTGGAAGTTCCATATTTGGGGTTTAGGGGTGGCTTTCCTTTTGGGAAACTCCTTGAAAGAATCCATACAGATAGTAAGCCATTGGGGTGTCCCTCGCCTCAACCTCAAGTTGCTTGTGTCTTAATCTGAAGCATCTCAAGGTTAGAGTCTTGCTTTAGCCGTCCTTTGCCGATTTGCGGGCTTTTAACATAATTATTGTCGCACAGGAAAAAGCCAGAAAGTGTTGCTCATTTGTTTGACCTTCGTGAAGCTTTCACTGGCATTGCCGACCCTTTGGGTGTGTGTGTGTGTGTCAAAGTAAGGGGATCTCTTTTAGCCTCCCTCCAACTCAAGCACAAACACGGCCATTTTCATGGACCAAGTCAAACTTTCAGGTCAAAATGGTCAGCTTTCCCTTTTCCTTCTTAGCTATTCGGATCTCAGACTTTTAAGCTTCAACTAACATTCCGTTTTCCTCCAAAAAACCGCCAACCGACGGCCGACCTTTTTGCGCGCTCGCCGTTTCGCTCGCCGGACGCCGGAGCCGGAGTCGAAGCGATCGCTCGAGGCGACCACTACGTCATCGCCCGGCGCACTCGGGAGATCCTGCGGTCGCTGGTGAAGGCCTCCGAGGCTGGGGGCGTCTCCACGGAGATGCTGCGGAAGGTGGAGAAGAAGCTCAAGGAAGGCGGGACGGGTCAGTGACGTATTTTGTTTGCTTTGCAAGCTTTTTGTTTTAGTGGAGGCGGCTTGCTTTTGCTGCATGTCTCTTTTTTTTGCAAGCTTTCCCTTTAAACCTATCCTAAACTGTATTGTTTGCGTTGTTCCTTTGTTTTTCGGCATGGCGTTTCTTTTGTAAGTCTTGTTTTGCATTTTTTTGCAGTTGTTTTTTGGGTTATACGAACGAAGGTGCCCTTTTTGTCCACAGTTTCGTTCCTCGCTGGAACTAACATGGATACGTGTCAAACGTGTCAAATGGGAGGGCGGCGAAATGTGGTTTTGCTAAGCCGAGCACGCTCGAAAATTAAAATCCACACACATTAAATGGTCAAGCCATCAACCTGTTTATGAAATTGCTGGTTTCTCTTTTTCGGGGCCTGAGCGGGATGGGTACCCGCAAAACCACCTCCACGCCTCTTCCATTTGCTTGGGAATATGTTTATTGTATTTTCCCACCACTCCGGAAAACATGAGCAAATAGATTCTTTAGGTATATGCCTGTTGGTTTCCCCATTTTTTTCGGCCTTTCGGCCTGGGCTGGGGGGGTTTATATCCTTCAACCCGCTCGCCAGGCATGGCGGCGCTTTCCCACGTGGGGGGGTGCTCAGAGAAGCATTCTGAGTGGTCCAAAACGGCAGTGGCCTTCACAAAATCCTGGGCAGACGCCTACGAGTCCGCGGACTCCGTGGTGCGTGGGGGGCTTGGGGTGCTGGAGTCGGGGAGTGGGGAGGGAGGGGTGTTGAGTTGTTTGATGTTTGTTTTTCGGTGGGACCTTGGACTTTTTGGTTTGTCTTCTCTTAGTGTTTTGTTTGCTTTGTGGTTTGGAGTTAAATGGTTCAGTTTCCTGTTCCGTTGAGGAGTTCTGCTTATTTTCACTGGCAGGCTGAGTAAAAAACATGGTGGTTTGATTGCCAACATGCCAAGGTTTGGGAACGAGCTGCTTTTGGCTGGTTGCAAAGGGAAACTGAGTTGACCCCCCCCCCACCCGTCAAACCAAATGAGTGTGTCTTTTTTGGGGACTCTACTCGGTTGAAGGAAGCCTATTTTGGGTTTCCATAGTTTTGAGACAAACCCTTGATAGGTTTTTGCATATAAGTTTGGCCAAGCTGTTGGGACCACCCCATCGTTGAGAATGAGGGGTATGGCAACAGCAACAGCATGAGGACGCCTACCATCTGGGTGGAGGAAGCTTTTGGATATTTTTGGGGTTGTCCCAGAGGAAAGCAGGACACCACCTTTGTTGTTTTTTTGGGGGGGGGGGACTTGGTTCCCTTTCCACAGGAGGCTGACTTTTCAGGCGGACGGAGCTCCTGTGCCGGCAATCCAGCAGCCCGACATAGAGGGGCGTTGCTTTTTTCCCCGAAATGACACTGGTTGGGTCAATAGGGGGGCTTCAACCCCCGAAAGCAGACACAACATAGAAACCAGCCGTTTAGTGCGCAAATTAGAGTTAGGCAACAACGAGATTGTCATTCGTGTTCGGTGACGCCTGGATTTCCAGGCCTGATTTGCCCCAAACAAAATCAGTCGCTTTCCGATTCGAGTCGCTGAGGGAAGGCCCTGGCGGTAGAGTTCCACTGCAAGTACGGGTCTATGCGCCTGGGATCGGCGACGGCGCATCTCAAAATTCACGTCTTTTCTTGATGGTACCTTGTTTGGGTGGTTTTGAAGGGACACCAAAGGAAGAACACCAATTTCGAGGGTCCATTTTGAGACGGACTCATAGAAAGGGGTACTTTAAGAATCCCTGATGTCGTTTTGGTTGCCCTTGGAATAAAAGTTGCAGAGGTACCCTGAAAACACACACACACACACATATAACACACACACACACCCACACACACACACACACCCACACCCACACCCACACCCACACCCACACCCACACCCACACCCACACGCACACGCGCACGCGCACGCGCACGCACACGCACACGCACACGCACACGCACACGCACACGCACACGCACACGCACACGCACACGCACACGCACACGCACACGCACACGCACACGCACACGCACACGCACACGCACACGCACACGCACACGCACACGCACACGCACACGCACACGCACACGCACACGCACACGCACACGCACACGCACAATCGCACCCGCTCAGGCACCCGCACACCCGCACGCCGCACCCGCAACCCGCACGCCGCACCCGAGCACCCGCACCCGCACAGCACAACGCACGCGCACATGAACATAGACAAGATATCGAGCACACGGCACACGCACGCGCGAAACGCACACAGCGCACTCACACAGCACACACACACACACCCACAAGAGCACCCCACACGCACCCGCACACGCAAAACCCCGCACCCGCACCCGCACCCCGCACACCACGCAAAACCGCCGCCACGCGCATCGCGCAGAAACCCGAAAAGCCGACAGCCTGTACTGCGCGCACACGCGCACACGCGCACACGCGCACACGCGCACACGCGCACCCGCGCACACGCGCACACGCGCACTCTTAACAAAGAAAACGCGCACCACGCGCGCACGCGCACTAATACTGCGCACCAAACGCGCACACGGGCGCGACTAACGACTCGCGCACACGCGCACCCGCGCACACGCGCACACGCGCACACGCGCACACGCGCACACGCGCACACGCACACACGCACACACGCACACACGCACACACGCACACACGCACACACGCACACACGCACACACGCACACACGCTCACACGCACACACGCACACACGCACACACGCACACACGCACACACGCACACACGCACACACGCACACACGCACACACGCACACACGCACACACGCGCACACGCGCACACGCGCACACGCGCACACGCGCACACACGCACACACGCACACACACGCACACACGCACACACGCACACACGCACACACGCACACACGCACACACGCACAAACACGCACACACACACACGCACACACGCACACACACACGCACACGCGCACACGCGCACACACGCGCACACACGCGCACACGCGCGCACGCGCACACACGCACACACGCACACACGCACACACGCACACACGCACGCACGCACAAACACACACACGCACACACACACACGCACACACGCACACGCGCACACAGGCACACACGCACACACGCACACACGCACACACGCGCACACGCACACACGCGCACACGCGCGCACGCGCGCACACGCACACACGCACACACGCACACACGCACGCACGCACAAACACACACAGACACACACACACAGACAAACACCAACACACAGACAAACACCAACACACAAACAATCACCAAGACACAAACAATCACCAACACACAAACACACACCAACACACAAACACACAAACACACAAACACACACACACAAACACACACACACACACACACACACACACACACACACACACACACACACACACACACACACACACACACACACACACACACACACACACACACACACACACACACACACACACACACACACACACACACACACACACACACACACAACACACACACACACACACACACACACACACACACACACACACACACACACACACACACACACACACACACACACACACACACACACACGCGCGCACACACACACACACAAACACACACACACACAAACACACAAACAGCGAGAGCGCACACATGTCTACAGTGGGGTGATTGGGGATTGTTGGATAGTGATAGACCCATTTGGAATTTGAACTTAAGGATTGGTTTCGCCCAGTTCATTACCACCCTTCTTCCCCTTGTGGTGGGATTCCCACTAAACTTCTCGACCCAAAAGGTTTCTTTCAGGGTCACGAATCGGTGGGTAGGTTCCGGATGATCAGCTGAGGAGGCGAACGAGCTCACCTGTTTCCATGTGTTTTTGTTTACGATTCGGAGCCCGCGAAATGGATTTCTTGCCCTCGCAAAAGGACGAGCTATCCAGATTGGTGAAGACGGATTTATAAATGCCCTCGATTGGTGGGTTGGATTTGGATTTGAACCCTGGTCCTTGTGAAGGGTAAACGGGAAAGCTGTCCTGGACCTCATGCAAACTAGAGAAGCGTTGGGTATTCAATACTAGCCATGCAATTGGTAGTCCATAAAAATGGCACCATGATTATGCATAATAATATGCGTGTTAACTTCGGGAACGTAATGGGAATCCCGGATCAACAACCCCCTGGTTGATTAATCGGGGGCCCCACCCCCTATTAGGAGGGGGTCTACTTAGATCCGTGGTCAGAATGGTCGATGGTGATACCTCCCCATGTCCAAAGGATGTCCCACAACTGAAAACAACAAAACATTCGTTGCTTTTTGGTACGACCTTGATGCTTCAGACCTTTGGAAGATGGCTGTTTCCCTACGTATCACACAGTGTTTTCTTTTTGGAGAGGCTCAGTGACCAGGTCCAAGTACTAGGAGGGCCTGAACGGTACCAGTTTTCGAGTTCAGGTTCCCGTTTGAAAAAACGATGAAACACAGGAGTGCCCTGTTTTTGCCCATGGCCATTGCGGGTCTAGGAATCACAGACGGATAGGTGTCCTTGCCAGCTTTGTTTGCTTAGAAATAGATGGGTTCCACTGGTTTAGCTGGGTGTTACTGTTATTCCATTTACCAGGGCCATTCACTATCGGTTTTTTCAATCGGTCACCTATGAGAACGAGCTGTTTCTCACAATGCCTAGCGCAACTGCCACCCATCCACACCGCGGAGGTACGAGCGTTTCTGGCGCACTGGGAGCGAGCCTCCGCACCAAATTTGGAAGGGGGCCAGTTGGGTGTTTTTATTTCTATTTTGAGGGTACCCCTTGTTGGGGTTGTTGTCGCAGGAAACCAAAAAGGAACCGCCATTTCTAGGGCTTCCCCCCCCCCCAATTTTCACACACAATTTGAGCTCAGCTGCTTTTTGGTTTGCAGGTGGCTGGGTATAGTTTTTCGGGCCGCCCTCTATGGGTTTCTGGAGGTAGCATTGTTTCTTTGCAGTCATACAATGGGGAGCTTTGAACACACCTCTACTTTGTTCGGTTGCCACCTTGCACCCCAGCAAGAGAGCAGGGTTAACTCATTTTGGAGAGGCTAAACTCTCTGGTGCAGAGATATGTCTTCGGTGATTCCGCGAAACCACAGCAAAACAAGTGTCAGAAACCTTCAGGAACGATATAGTGACACTCCAAAAAAAAGTCCCACTCAACATCGTCCAAAGCAGTCTTAGGTTTTGCCGCTTGCACTTTTAATTGCTTCGCAAGTGAGTTATGTCCGACGTCATGTTGGCCCAAGAAAAGCCTCGGTTTGGAACACGCGAATTGTTCGGATCCATGGATAGCCGTCGGTGCCTGATGCCTATCGGAGGCCTCGGCCTTGCGATTTTTAGACACTCGGTTCTCCTTTCGAAAGCAGGGGATCAATCTTGTTAAGGTCTCGTGGGCCGGTTCTACCACGTTTAGTTGGAAAGAAAAGCCAACCATCTTGATAGAGCCAAAACTGTGGTCTCCTCGAACGCCATTGTATATTTTCTGAGCGACTCACTCTGAAACAGAGTCTGAAACTGTGTTTTTCACTGGAGCCAAAGTGCAGACAAAGTATGAAACATAGTCTGAAAATTCAGATTTGCAAGTAGCCTATGTCAAAATTTAGAACTTTCAGTGTATTCTACTAAGTGTTATTGTGTTTCCAGAGGGTGTCAAAGTCAGAAACAGAGGTTAATTCACTAAAAATCGCTCACTTGAGGGATGAGTTACCATCTTGGCGTATGGGCCAAGACTGTGCGCTGAAGTAAGGTCATGCCACTATCCAGCTTCAGTTTGCAGATGGCGGAGCAAGCCAGCCCTACAGACTTCGACTCGGAGAGCGTGGCCTCCCCAGCGACCGCGAGCCCGGAAAGGCAGGATTCATTCATTCATGTATTAATGTGTTCATTCCTTCCTTCCTGCAGTTCTTTGCTCCAACACAGATAAAGAATAACATTTTGCAATCAACTTCTAACAAACAGCGACATCTAGCAAAGTGCAACATCCAGCAAACGGCGCGTCTGACAAGGAGCAACATATAGTAAAGAGCACCATCTGACAACGAAAAGCATCTATCAAACACCAACATGTAACAAAGAGCAACGTCTAGCAACATCCAACACACATCGACATTCAGCAGAAAGCGTCATCTAGTATCTGTCAACAACTAACAATCAGCAACTTGCAACGATGAGGCGTGTTTCCCTTCAAATGCCATCTAAAAGGGATTCCCTGTGACAAAGAGCCATGTTTCTCTTGGGTTCCCCTGCTTCCCATAGGTCGCGAAACACGCCCTCCGCTCAAAGCGCGGTTTTCGCAGGCCGAAGAAAGCGAAGGGCCGGCGCAAGGGGCGCTAGCTTCGGAAAGCGCCCGCGGGTTTTTTAACCTGCGCGCGGGTGCAGCTGGAAAACGTCGGAACTCCATCTCCAAAAAAGTCTCCCACATGGGAGTGGGTTAGAGGTGTTTCTGGGTTCATAGGATGGGTGTTTCTAAAATACTGGACCCCCGCTTTGGTTGGTCTTTCAAGGGAAACCAAGAGCAAAACAACTGGCTTAGGAGACCACTACTTTGAGACTCACATGTCCCCAGAAAATTAGGAATCCCCAACGAACAGCGACCCCTTGCTATTTTGGGGGTTTAGTGTACCAATTGGAGGACAACATTCCTGTGCTCGAAAGAGGGTCCACCTCCACTTTCAATTGCTTCCTCTTTTAAACCTGAGTTGATGGCTTGGATGGAACTCACTGGTTCGAGAGCAAACAAGCGACTCACCGGTTTACCCCAGGAAGGTATTTTGGGGGATTCCTTGCATTGGAGTGTGAACACAAAGGACTCACTCAGTTCCCATGTCCTTCACGGGAATAGCACACTTGGATGTAAGGGTGTTCCCTTCTATGACCCCCTTCAGCTCACGAAGATTCTTTGGCTGGCGACTTTCTCAGTGCTCTACTGAAGATGTTTCTTCCAAAGACTAGGTTCTTTGCAAAAGCGGGTCAGACGCTTTTCGCACCTGTGAGTCCGTTGTCGTTCTAGGAACGGTTTGGATGCGGCTTTTGCTGTCCCACAGGGTTTTAGAAGAGTACTGAACTGACAGAATCCGCCAAAAGCGCACCCAACCCCATTTTTCTAGAGTCATTTCTCGCTCGCGACTCGCGACGCGCGACAGAGAAAAACAAGGGCGTGGGCCAGGGGCGCTGCTAGGTGTGGCCATCGTTTTCTGGGCAAATAGCGACCTCATTGGAGGCGTGCAACTGTCATACTCAGGGGGGACTTACTCTGCTTGATCTTTGACTTCGAGTTGCTATGTGTGCAGGTGCCGTTGCGGCCTGATGAATTTGGAAGGGAAATACTCAGTGAGGCCCTTGAATGCTTCATCGTGATTTGCTGGATTCCTCACTTTTGGGATCATTTCAGAGGCAAACAACAAATTCAGACGCTGGCAACTGGAGGCACGGATTGGTGTCCCATGATTTCCAATCAAGGGACACCGTATTGACAACGTAGTCGCATGGATTGCCCACTTTGGCGTCAAAAGGATCATTTCCCACAGCCTTGCAGCGTTTAGATAGTTCGGACACACAGACAGGGTGGCGTGAACACACTTGGGCCACTTGCAAAAATCGCTTCTACCAGCTTTGGAGGTCCCCCAAGTCCAAGGAGGCATGGAGGGACATTGAGAAAACGAGCCCTAAATTTTCCATGTCGTAACTTGGACCGTGGCTCGTGTAGACGCTCGAAAAAGGCTTGGATGCCCCACTTTCCAAGTGACCCTGCTAGAAACATGTTTGGAGCTGTTTTTGGGGTCACCATGTTTAGTCAGGTTTCTTGGGGCAACTTTTTGGGTGGTTTAGAGGGAAACCAAAGGGAAAGGAGCGCCGCAATTTGTTTTGGGGGTCTCTATTCTCTATTGGGACACATACTCATGTGGCTATACTATGAATTTCAAAGTAGGGAACCACCTCAAAAGTGGTTGGACATGCATCCCCACCGAAGTATGATGTCCACCCTGTCGGGTCCTTTTGGACCCATTAGAATTCACACCCATATTGTTTAAGCAGCCTCCATGAAGGGGCTTTGCATGGTGGTTGCAGCAAGTTTCGACAAAGCCTTTTACTCAGGCGGGGTGTGGTAAATCGCAAATGCAAAAAGATACCCTTTCTGGCTGCCCCTACTCCAAATACCCGCTTATTGTTAGGGTGTCACCATGGATAACCAGGTTTTCCAAGAAGCGGGTATTTGGAGTAGGAGGTTGGTTTCAACTTTGCGGGCTACTCTCTTTGACACATACCGGGAAACCATCCATGTTACCACCTGGTAAGGAACCCGATTCGGTTTACCTACTATAGCGGCTTGCTTGGGTGTGTGTCTTGTCTAAAGGACGGCAAAAGGAAAATAGACCATAAGGGTTCAATGGCTTGCCTGGGTGTTTTTCTTTCGCTGGGACCCCCTGTTGCTTGGGAAAGGAAAGCAAAAGTAGAAATAAACCATTTTATCAGGTAACCCCTAAGGTTGGTGGTTTGGATTGGTTGGGGATTTGAGCCCCTGGTGTTGCAGATATCTTAACCAGCAAACTACCGAGCTCCAAACCACCAATCCAAAAGCCCTCCAACATATGCCCCTGCTCTTCCATGATTTCTTTCATTTGGGGTCTATTACTGCTCTCACTTGGTATGTTGGGTTCTTGGAACCAATCACCCCAACCCTCCCCTTTTGATTCCTTTCATTTGGGGTCCGGGGTATGCTCTCAATTGGCATGTTGGTTGCTGGAAGCCAAGAGATCAGCGGATGGGCTCCCATTCGCCAGGTTCGAACCGCAGGAGACGAGCACCTTCCTGTCGCGGGATGGGGGCCTCACCTGGGTTGAGGCACACAAGGCCGGGCTGGGTGGGCATGGGTCAAAAAAAACCGTCCAAATACCGGCCTTTTTGTAGGGTACTTTGAGAGAAACCTGTTTTTTCATGGTAAATACTTTTTTTACCGGTAAAGGGTTGACATGATACCCTAACAAAAAGTATATTTGGAGTATACGAGACTCCTCGCACCCTGAGTTCCGTTTCGGAGTTGATCCTTTTGGGTTTGGTCCGTAGTGGTGATTGAACAGTTTGGGGACTTTTTGGAGGTGAGAGACCCAACCATTTTCTTTTGGGTTTCCCGTGAGCCTCAAACCACGAACCCTGGTGCTTCCGATTTTCGGCTGGAAATGCTGCGGCAAAATGCTCTGCGTGGGTTTGGGGAGGGGTGTTCGGGGTATGTGGAGCATTGAGAAATGAGTTGAGGCGCGGTCAAGATTGTGCAGGTCCCCCCAAGGGGTCAGGGGGAAATTAAGGCTTGTTTTTTGGAATTCTAAGAGGTTCCCCTGCCTCGTAAAGGGACCATAGGCTTTTGAGGTTATGCGGATAATTCGGAAATGGCGGTGGAAAAAATGGGGTTTGTGGGGTGGGGTTACGTGGCAAATGGGCTTGTGCAAAAGGGCTGTGAAACATTGCGTGCTGACCTGCTGAACGTCGACCGAGTGTTTGCTGGCAAGGTGGAAAGTCGGGGAGTTGTCGGTTGCTGGTGGCCAACCAAAAAGGCCCAAGTAACAAGTCAAAGGAGGCTGCATTTGGCCCACAGAAAGGCAATTCATGTCTGGTGAGCAATTGAAACCCGGGTTTTGTGAGCAAAGAACGGAGATTGGGTCTCTTGCTCAAGGAAGGAGCAGGAGTTTGACAGCTTCCCTTTGAGACACGTGGGGAAAGTCGGGGCCATAGTGTGACTTTCTTTGGGATTCGGGCCCCAACATGGATTTCAGCTTTCCTTTTGGTGTCCCTTAACAAACCAAGAGGAGTTTTCCAACTCCAAAATGACAAGCCATGTCCTTAGACTTTTAGACGTTTGCTTCAGTTGGATGACCTATCCGGCATTGGACCCGGCTCACGGGGAGGATGAGGCCTTGGGAGTTTCTCAAAATGGACCCCCCTTGTTGGCAGAAGATGGAGACCTGTTACCTTTGAGATTATGAAGCCAAACGTCCGTGTGGGGTGTCAAAATATGGATTCCCACCCCGAACACCGGGACCCGTCACCCGGCGATGTTTTGTAAGCAGAGAAAACCATCATGCTCAACGAGCATTGGTTTTTGCAACGACCTACCTCTTTTGATAGAGCCCGATGCTTTTCAGGGGGCCTTCATCTACGAGTTCGGGGACCATGGCGGGCTCATCGTCATGGCGGACGACCTCAAGAAGACCGGCGAGGCAAGTCAAGCCGCTTTTGCTTGCTGGTGCTCAGTCGGGAATGAGGGAATGAACCTAGGGGTCCCCTGAAAGGATCCCACAAGGGATGGTTTATAGGGGTCATTCCCGCATTCCCTGCTGAGCACCAGCAAGTTTGTTCATACCAAACTCAGGATCCTCAGGATGGTAGTTTCTTCATCTAAGTCGACGTAAGTCGAGCCCCAAATACTTTGAACTTTTCCCAACAGCTGAAAGCTTTGGGGACGATCGACCCAGAAATCGGCCACGTGGCGTGGTGAGGGGAGTGATAAAGTGGGCAAGGTTCCAGAAGGGTGCAAAGGGGGGTTGCGAAAATACCACCTGGTTTGGAAACCGAACTCGAGTGGTTGGACATGAACCTCCACCGAAAGGCTGTCCAAGGGTCAAGCAGACTTCACCGTAGGTCATTTTCACCTGGAACGAGGGGGAGTCCTGGTACGACTTCCAGGTCGCCAAGACGCCCTTTGAGGCCGGCCAACAAAGGTGCAGGGAAGACCAGCGGGGGTGGTGCCGGCTTTTTTGCAGTTCCCCTTCCTTTTGGGGTTGTTTATGGCCTTGATTTATTATAGAAAGCAAGCGAAGTGTGTTTTTTGAGTAGCTTGGTTTGAGGGAAAGAGAGGCAAATCACCATTTACCATTTGGGGGTCCTCGTATTTTTAAGGCATACCTGGTGGGGGGGGGTGGTCATAGACTCGCATAGACCTGACATGGCCATTTTTGCGGTTTCGGCGATACACACCAATTGCCGAAGTATGCTATGTTGTCCTGTCAAGGGCCCTGTGTTTTTTGTTCAAGGGGAGGTATGCTAGAATCGCCAACAAATATCGCCCCAAATATTTGGTTTGGGGAATTGTCCCCGTTAAGGGGACCTTAAGAATTCCGAAGCATGCTATGGTTCTCAAAAGAACCCACAACAGCGAATATTGAATTGGAAAGAGGGCCCATGGACCCTCTACAGCTTTTTCCTCACAGCTTAGGGGTCTTGGCGTCTTGGAGTTTGGGAGTTTCGGGGTTTGGGGGGGTTTTGGGGGGGGGGGGGGGGGTGGGGGTCGCAGAAATCGCGAGGTGGACAACATCATCACGGAGCCAAACCTCACGTCCACCACCTTCGTGATGTTCGGCACCCGCGAGGCGCGAGGAAACGGCACCGGGCAGAGCCATGGATGGCCCCCCTAAGTCCCTGTTTGGTGGCTTCCGAAAACGAACCCAGAGGCACTGTTGACAGTTGAATCTGTGTTTTTTGCGTTGGTTCGGCAGCTGGGTGTTGATGTGCACCTCGCATATAGTGTTTGTTTGTTTGTTTGTTTGCTTGCTTGTTTGATTGATTGTTTGTTTGTTTGTTTGTTGATTCACCCAGACCCGAAAACGGACCCTTCAAAGAAGCTCCGACCCCTCCGGGGTTTAATACCCGCTTTTAGAAGTTGCCAAATGCGGCTGAAGTTGAAGCCTGACAGAAAGCGGCCTGGCTATACCTCGGAAGAGGCGGTTCGTCCTTGGGCAAGCTTCCATTTGCGTTTCAGATCAGCTTTTGTTTACTGTTGCCCAGGTGTTTGAAAAGGGAATCTCCATCACTGGAAATATCAAACTTTTCCCGGGCACATATCCTCAAATGCAAAGGCCCGATTCGATGGGTTTTGGCCGCTTCCTTTGAGGGGCCACAAACTGAGCTCTTGGGTGCAAGGGCCGGGCCCATACCAAACCTGGGATCTTCAAGGGCGGTGGGCCCGGATCTCGTTTTTGCAGGGGCGAAAAAGGTTCCAAAAGCGTTCCCAGGGTTGCTGTCGGGGATACCACCAGATTGGTGGTATAGGAACATGTTTTATTGAAGTCGCGCCCACAAACCTGCGAACTTCCTGAGCAGTCAGCTCAGCGAGTCAGTCACCCATTCACAATTGGCCATCAAGTAGAGCATCGCCGATGTGAGTTTCTCCCAACACCATCGTTTTCCCCAAGAGCAGCAGCAAATCCTGCGTTTGCGGCGGTTTTGGCTGGGGAGGTTCCGGAGGGGTTGTGATGTTGCGGACTTAATATAGTGCGTATTTTCCAAGAAAGCAGTGGATCCGGCCTCTCCAAGACACCGCCGGCATGAGCTCTCCACGGGACGGCTGAAACTTCCAATGGCAACGGCAAGCCAGGATAGCACGGGCGTGCTGTACTATCTCAAGTTCGACTCGCTGGAGACTGAGTTATATCACATACCATTGAGCGATTCCTTCACTGTCCAGGCAAAGGTTCAATCGCTCATGATGAAGGTCCTTCCCCTTGGAACTCATAGCAACTTGCCCAGGCCGTTTGTGTCACAGCCCAGGGCATTCAGGATTTCAAAGCTGGGGGCGACACAAGATTGCTCATTTGCCGTAAGGAACCCATGGCCAGCAGATCCAATTTTCCGATTTAGCAGGGAATCGTTTGCCAGGCTCCTTGAGTGCTCAAAGGGTTCCCTTGGTCACCCAGGTAAATAGAATCACGGGGAAGGGAATATCTTTCAAGTGACCAAGAGAATCAGCCACAAGGTACAAGCGGCCGACCCATTTCCCACCTGGACCTGGCTCGTCTTTTTCGGAGGTACTTGGGGTAAAGGGGAAAGCAAAACGGCGGGCTGGATTCCGCCGGGGCCCGTCTTCCGGTGCTTTGCCTTCAACCGCGGATCCCAGGGAAGCCACTATAGTAGGATTCGGACCCTCCAAAACGGCCACACGATGTTCCTTTTGATTTTCCTTTAAACCACAAAAACAGAGTGGTTTTTAAGGACATTAAACGGACACCCCACCACTTTTGAGTCCTACCCCCCTCAAAAAAAGAAAATACGGCTGCTTTTCCTTTTGGCTTCGCCCGTGAAGGGGGTATCAGCTCCCCAAGACGAGTGAGAAGAAGCCCCGAGGCTGCAGTTCCCTGCCTGCAAGAACCCCGGTGGCGCAGACTCGGTGTCCTCGGACTACGAGGCGGGAGCCTGGATCGGCCCTATTGGGTTAGAACCCACAAATGAGCTAAGTCTAGAAAACGGTTTGGATGCGCTTTTTGTGGATTTCACCTGCTCTTCCCCCTGTAGGTTCTTTTTTCGTACTTTTCTAGTACTCTTTCTTTTAGATATGCTAGAGGTTCCAAAAACGCCACATCCAAATCGTTTTCTAGACTAACGGGACCTGTAAGTGGCTTATTCTAGGTTGCAAGAACTTATTGGCAACACACATCCAAGTAAGGAACCCCATGGAATCCTCATTGCATGTCAATGTATTTAGGCCAGTTTCTTCGATATTCTTTGGAGTCCTCAGACCGATTCCCAGGTTGCTTCAATTGTTTTTGACTTTTTGAGAGGTGGGGCTCATGGTTCAGAGCCTTGCAGTCGGAAAGAATGGACCGAACCTCATACGTCTGGGAGGCTGCCCCAAGTCCTTTCAGTTGGGCGTTGATGTATTAACGAAGCATATTCGATTTTGTGGCCGGCGCATAGCCTTTACTTTACGACTCCGAAGTGTGAATAGGACACACTTGACGGCGATGATGAGGACAACGTGAAAAGCATCTGGGCCATGGCTATCATGCCGAAGATTATTCTCCTGAAATCGGGATTGTATCCAACCGGGAAAATGAGATAGGAACTCATTTCGCCAGGAAGTTTTCGCTGGGATAAGGTTCTGCGCAAAAAATATAGAGGCATTTCCTGATGTGAGCGCTGTTGGCCATTGCAGTTGGTGGGTTTACCTGCATGCCTTCACTGGGTAACATCATTTCTGGGATCTCTTTTTGAAGCAAACAACACATTTGTAGGTTCACAGACTATGGTTGCCGGAATCAAACACTGTATTTTGGGTTGGGGAGCCTTTGAGCTCAGACAGAAACGACCAATGTGCTTCAAAGAGGACCAAAATCCATTTGCGGTGTGTCCTTTTGGCCTGCAAAGGGAAACCCAAAAGGAACCAAGAGGCATTTTCGGGGCTCCCTATACCCAAGTGGATTCCAGTAGTCTCCGCATTTGCCAGACTTGGACCGCCTCGGACGGGCAAGCGGAGCAGTGCATGTTGGGTCAGCAGGCGCGATCGATCCAGAGGCTGTGTGGCAAACCTCCATTGGAGGTTTAGAGTGCTGGATTCGGGATTTGAAGCCCTGGTTCTTGCAGAGTCTAGAGGAAACCATCTCCAGATTTCCAAACCACAGGACTTCAAAACACCAGAGGGAAGCTGATGTGAAGGGAGTTCCTTTTTTCAGTGGGGTTTCCTTTCTTCCAGGGGCACCGTCTGATTAGCAAATGGGGGGTTTCTCAATCAGGGTCAACAGTATATCTTATTCTGGGCCTGAAAACCTAGAATGGATTCTGGGATCGTCACGATCATAAGAGGCTAATGTGTGTAGTTCTTTCGCCCGTCATGTTTCCTCGCATTTTTTTGGCGGGTCTAGTCTAGAAGGGAAACCAAATGCAGGCCAAGTTCGAGAGGTGATCCCCCAGTTGAGGGGTTCGCTGAAAGTACTTTTGGGGCATAAGTTCCTTAACACCCATCCATTTTAGAGGCTAACTTTGGGGCTAATTTACTGAAACTAGTCATTTTGAGGCTGCAATGGTGGGTTTTGTGTTGGGGGGAGGGCGCCCATTTTGGGGGTCCCCTAATTTGGAGACAAGCCCAAATTCATTTGGGTGTGCAAAGGATCGCCGCCATTTTGTCCCCTAAAAAAGATAGAGACTCAGCAGCATTTGTTTGCTGTTTCCGGCCGCCTCCCACTTGCTGGGCCGCCTCATCTTCGCTTTCCAACCCCGCAGCGTGTGGGTGGGATATCAACTGAGCCGTTATGGTGGATGGAGAAAATCGTTTGAAGGGAACCAGTAGCGTACACCCAAAAGACCCTTCCCCAATCATGCTCCCTTTGTAGGGTCAAAGGAAGATATTTGTGTTGATGTATGGAGCGGGGGCTTGCTGTGCGCTGATTGAGATTTTCTCACGCCCTCTTTGAGCGGTTCTTTGGAGGTTCCCACCTTTGTTTCAGACTCAGAAAGGGGGTCGAAGAGGCAAAGAGAGTTCTGGTTGCATGACATGATTCTGCATTTTTTGAGGTCTGACTATGGACCAACATTCCTATGGCCATTGATTGGGCGCCACCTGAAAAGTGATGGGTGGACATAAATCCCCCCACCAAAGGGTCCATGAAAATTCACACCGCATTGCTTTTTGATGGGGCAAAAGCTCAGGCTCTCTCTTGTGACGTGACGGCCTTTCGCGAGGTCACGTTCACCCGAAGAAAGCGCACCTCCCAGTGCTGGAACGGCGAGGCTCAACTCGTGACTCCTTCCAGGCGTTTCGCCACCAAAAGGTAGGTAATCCGATCTAGGGTTTTGTTCCATGGATGGTTTCCCCCGGCTTGCTCGGAAGCACTGGGTTTGTGTGGAGGGGGGGAAGACGCCTCTGCACATTTTAAATGGTTTTGGGAATGCACCATTTGGGATTTCAAGGGAATGGTAAAGGTCATTCCCTTCCCAGCAAGGCCCCCTCCCCTGTTTGCAACATCTAGAGGCCTGTGACAGGACCCTCGCGTCCAGGTCTTCGGTTTGCCTTAACCCTTGCGGTTTCTTAGCTTCAATGCTTACTCGTGTGCGACGAGCAGTTCCATGGCTTCACTTGGCAAAAGGCGAAACCACAAAATGCCACTCCTGGAACGGAAGCAGAAATTAGGTTCCAGCCCCGGTCAACGTCGTTTTCGGAAGTTCTCGGAACCCGAAAGGTCAGAAACTGCTTATGAGAGTCCTTCCGAACCCAACATCTGGGCGGCGTTGCATATCCTGTACCAGATGCACCTAGCGCTGGGATTTTGGTTGCTTCAACTTGGAGCGCCTGCGCCAAGTGCCAAGGACAGTGATTTGCAGTTGAGATGGAAGGTGGCCAGGGAAATATGTCCAGGTTCTATCAACCAACTGCCAATTGTCTATTATATGTTTCTTATATCCATAGTTGAGTGCATGTCGCACAAGAAGCATTTCATTGATTTGCCTGGAGAGCCCAGGTGTAAAGCAATGGTTGCTGCAGGCAAATGCATCCGCGACTGGCTCATAGGGGCACAAAGCATGCCTCTAGGAATACTCGGCATTGTGCGTCTTGGACGAGCCGCTTGAATCCACTTTTGCAGTCGGTGTCCGTTTTTGGTTGGGTTCCTTGGAACGGGATGTCAAGGTCAAAGGTTGACGCATCAACATGCCATGGTCCAAAACGGTAAAACAGGAATGGTGAACACACAGGCTCACCATACAGAAATGTCAGAAAGGTCATTTTTGGTCAAAGACAGGCACGACGCAATGGACTTAACGGTGGCCTTACCCAGCGGGCGCTGCTGTACCTTGCGCCGCGTCAATGGCGGCTCCACGGTGAGGGACTTGAAGCAGGTGGCGCAGCGGCTCTTGCAGTGCCGCTACCTGCGTCTCGTGTTCCGAGGCTGGGGATTGGCCTTCACCGAGTCCCAAAGGTCCCGTGTTTCAGCTTTCCTTTTGGAAACAAACGGGGTTTCGCCGAAAAACAACATACGAAAGGTCGATCGCCACCTTTTGCTTGACGGAATCCAAAGGCCCCGGTGACCTTGCGGAGTCAACTGTGGCTTCTCCAACAAACCTAAACCTTTTGCTCGAATGTTTCAATGAATCCAATGGCGTTTGGGAGTGCCCAGCCCACGGATTCATCCTCAAAAACAGCGTCGCTATTTTGTCAGTTTTGTGGAGTATCAAAGTCAGGCTTTGTTTCCCTGTAACCGTTGTTGTTGTGGAATGCGGTCTCCGTTGTTGCGGAATTCCCTCTTTCCAACATGGAAGCTGATCACGGGAGGCTTTTGGAAGACGAAAGCTTTCCTTTTGGCGAAGCTCCCGATTGTCCAAGTCGCTGGACCCTCAAACTACCCTTAAACAGGTCCCGTGGCCCCACACCTCAATCGGCCCCATTTTTATGGGTCGCTCGGACCAGGACCCCCAACATGGCCGATTTCGTGATCCCTTCACCGCAAATGGGACCACCCAAGTGGGTGTGTCGAATTTGGGGACCCCAACCCCAATTGGATTTCGGTGTCCAATTTTGGTTTTCCTTGCAAAAAAACGGGGAACTCCCAAAGGACCAGCGGTCGAGTCCAGGCCGGGAGCTCGAGGCGAACTCGGCGCTCGAGGCCAACTTGGGGCATGGCGACACCATCGACGCGGTGGCGCAGCAGCTGGAGGTGGCGTCCACGGACCAGGCGGCGAAGGTTGACGCGAGCCCTATGAATCAACCAACCAGTTAGGAACTATGTTTTTATTGATTCCCAACCAACCAACCAACCAACCAACCAACCAGTTTTTGTTGGTGAATCAACTTCCTATGTTTATTCATCAGGGGGTGGGGGCCCCTCCAAAAGTGGTCCGATTCCCCACTAAACCCAGTAGCACCCCCCCAGTTGCCCAGTGGATTCCGCCCATTTTAACTTCTTGGGAAGGGTTCGCCCTTAAACTCAACCAACCAAAAAAAGAGGCCGAGTCTTTTTTCCCATGGCCACTGTGCATCTGAGATAGGGCAGGGACACCCCCCTATTAATAAGCTGGGGTTGATTCATAGGAGATCAACATTGAAAGGCCCGCAGTTGTCTCAGTTGTCCCAAGCGAAGCGAGCGAATCTGACGTTTGGTTTTTCCAGGCCCTTTGGGACAAGTGGGTTTTTTCAGGTCCCGTAGGGGATTCCTTTCTTCTACCCGGATTAGAATAACTCATGGGGGGGTATGAAAACCAGGGGTCAACATGAGCAACTGACGAAATGGTGATCGACCGGCGGTTGGCTTTTGCATGGCATTTCTCCGTGCTAGACCGGGGCATCCCTGGATAAGCCTGGAATTAATAAGGGATGGCCCCCCTCCCCATGGTCCCCCCACCGCGGTCCATGAGGTCCTAGGTGTACGCTGGGGGCTCCATGTTGATCAGGAGTGCACGAAGGCCAAACACCCACTCATCGGTTGGGCTTTTCCAAACCGGGGCTGGGAGGAACAACCACACAGCACTGTGAAATCCGTGAAACGGGCCTCTTTTCAATTCAGCCGCTTCATGGTTGAACGAGAAAGTGACACCTCCTTCGGGTCGACTGTTGAGGTTTCTTTGGTTTCCCTTGCGATGCATTGAATTCCTTCCACTCGGGATTTTGGGCGCTGATTTCGTTTTCGAGGCAACTGACGTTTGGTTGGAGAATGATCATGGCTTCCGAATGATCCAAAAGGGTTTCCAATTCCTCGAAGGATTCGCCTGCACCCCCGCCTGCCCAAAGGGTGGTAAGCAGGCGGTGTTCCAACCGCTGCTTTTTTGCACAGTTGGCATGTCGGACATGGCAAAAAGCAGTCGCTGGGGAGGTGCTGGTTGGGGCCCCCTGGCATTGCCAGGCCTTCGCCCTGTTCGTTGCAGGAGGTCCAAGTCCGGTGCTGCTTTGGGGCAACGAGATTGCCGGAGGCTACAGCAATGTTCGGGAGACGCGGATTAAGAAGATCCGAGGAAATCTGGCGGCCTTTGCCGCTCGAACAAAAAAGAGGGGGCTTGAAATTACCCGGTGCTTCCGGTTGAAGCGCTACAGGTAGCCCTTTGGGTTGTGCTAGTCACCGGAAGCACCGGGAGGGGGAACCCCATAAACATGTGCTTGGTCTCCCTTTTGGTTTCCCCTGAAAACCAACCAGCAAGTTTCCTCCAATCAAAAAACACACCCACTTGTCCATATCCCAGGCATCAGAGTAGCTAGCCTCGAAAAGCATTATGTGATTCCTGAAGGTCAAAACACTTTGGAGCACTGGCCATGTGTTTGTGCTCACCCCAAAGCGAATCAACCTTTTTACCTTTTGGCTTGTCAGTAATTACCCCTCAGCTCGACGGCTTGCCTATGTGGAAATAGGTCATATATGTGTGTCCTTTCATTGGGTTGGTAATTCATGGACTTCAACACCATTCCAGCTACCAGAGGCGTGCCAGCTTGAGACATGGGCCCAAATCCAGTTGGCACGTGGTTTAGCCTCAAACAAAAGCATAGTTCACCCATCCCCAGTTGCGAGTTGGATGTTGCCCTTTGTCGCAGCCAACATATGTCTTGGACTTTTGGATTTTTTGCCGTTGGAGGCATGTTTGGACACTAGAAGTCTACCTTTCAGCAAGTGATGAATGAACCACTAATCCCGCCTCCCATTAAGTCCCACCCGGCCCCTTGTTGGTTACTATGTTTGCTATGTTTGAAAAGCACACACATTTATGAACAGGGTTCCAGGGGGTCTGAGGGCTTTCCAGTGCTCATGTAATAGGGGCTTCAGGAGTTTAGTGTTTAGTATTGGGTCAATTAAAAGTCAAGGGGCCGGCTCGGATTTTGGATTGTGGCCTGGTAGGACACCTGGAGAAAGAGGAGTTTTGTTCCACTTGTTTGTTTAAATTGCAAGGGTAGATAATTGGCAATGGATCCTTTTTGTTCTTCTTTTGCAGGGTCCAAGATGCTACCCTTGATCGCTTTGGTCTTAGCCACCGTGTACGGTTACCGCCAGGCTGGGATTCAGACGGACGGGCAAGTGGTGACTTGGGGCTACGTGGGCTCGGGGGGGTGCTGCAGGGCGCTGCGGGAACAACTGACCAATGTGAAGCAAATCCAAGCGACAGACACCGCTTTTGCGGCCATCCGGGCGGATGGTGTTGCTTGGGCAAATCGACCTCAGTCAACCTTTTGATATTCCCTGCTTGGTCCATGTTTAGTCAATGTTCAAGGCTCAAGGCACCAAAAGGTTTACTTGTTATTTCTAGGTCCTTGCAAGGTTGCTGTGGCGTGGGGAAGTGCTCGTGATGGCGGGGACAGTAGCCCGGTGCAGGAGCAGCTGAAGAGGGTCCAAGCGATACAAGCGAACCGCGGGGCGTTTGCTGCCATCCGAGATGATGGCACGGTGGTTACTTGGGGCAAAGCGGACGGCGGCGGAGATAGTGCACCGGTTCGGGAACGCTTGACGCGTGTTCATCAGATCCAGGCAGGGTTGGGCAAAGTTGTTTTTCAGACCAGCCCTGGTCCTTGAAGGGCATCCAACGAATTGCAGTCGTTTACGGCCTGGCAAACCCGCCGGGTCCAGGCCGCCAAGAGCGCTTTTGCCGCCATCAGAAAAGACGGCGAAGTAGTGACCTGGGGCGATCCAGACGCGGGCGGAGACAGCAGCAAGGTTCAGCACCAGTTGACTCAAGTCCAGCAGATCCAAGCGACCGACACCGCCTTTGCTGCCGTGCCTCAGGTGAATAGTTGCTAGTTTGCTGGCTTCGGCATGTTGGTAGCGTGTCTAGCGTCGTGCTAGATGGCTCGTTGCTCTCAAAAAGGAAGCCAAAAGCGGATGATGTTTGATTTTGCCAGATCCCTATTACGTGTCAAAACTGGGTACCCCCAAATGGTGGTCGTCCTTTTGGTTTCCCTTTAAAACCACCCCCCAAAGGGGTACCCCCGAAGAAAAAAAAAAAAAAGCACACACACACAGGTTACTGTAAACTGCAAAACACCTTTACCAGCTGTTTTAGGAGTTTCCACGTGTACCAGTTTTGGGTGCTGAGGGTGGGTCCCCCAGGTCCGCAGCGATGGGACAGTGGTGACTTGGGGCAATCCGCTGCGAGGGGGAGAGAGCACCCAGGTTCAGGACTGCCTGCAAAATGAGCCTGATTATTTTAGCAGTGTGCGACGCTGTGGAGGCCCTTGCTTTCGATATTTGATTTGTTTGTGTTTACTGTTTTCAGATCTTTTTGGCATTTTAGGGTAGCCTGATGTTTAGAATCTGAACAGTCTTCAGAACCTGAACATTTCTTTCGTTTTGGTGCAAGTTGGTCCAGGAGCGGTTGACCGAAGTGCGGGAAATATCAGCCAACGACGGTGCCTTTGCTGCGATCCGAAGCGATGGCCAAGTGGTGACTTGGGGGTCTTGGTACCCGGACTACGGCGGAGACGGCAGTGGGGTGCAGGAGCAGTTAAGAGGTGGGGGGTTGTCAAACAGAATGGCCCAGTTTGGAGTTTTGTGTCGCCTTTGTTTGCCGCCTTTTGACTCACTCCCCCTGAGCTCATTTAAGTGGTGAACAAACAGTTTGGTTACGTTTTTAGTGGCCAATCCACTCGTTCGGAAGTGAGCTAAACGGGGCATTTTGCTCATTAAACCTTCGGAATCGTCTGTCTTTTTGTTGAGAGTACCCCCTTTTCTGTGGTTTGAAAGGAAACCAACAGAAGAACGGAAACCCAGTTTGGGGGGTCCGAATCCTAAGCAAAGATGCACCCAGGCGTTCAGCGCATCCAAGTCACTGAGTGTGCCTTCGCTGCAATCCGAGACGATAGCACGGTGGTCACCTGGGGCCATCCAGACTTTGGCGGTGACAGCACCAAGGTTCAAGAGCAGCTGAGGAGAAGGTTTGTGCAAGCAATCTTTAAACACGTGAGAACCAATCAAACCTGGGTAGATGAAGGTTAGAAAGGGATCAGAAGGGGTTGGTGTGTCTTTTCTAGCAATCGGACCCCCGCAAATATATATATATATATGTATATGTAATGAATGGCGCAACGGATTCCTTTAAAGCTACAGCAAAGGGGTATCAAGCCAACAAAAAGACACCCGCTTGGGCAAACCATCTTTCAAAAACAAGTTGCTGGCCTTTTTGGAGAAACCAAAGGGAGGTTGTTTAAGCAATCTGGTTTAATAGGTTGTTGCTGGTTTGTGCGAAGAAAGAAACTGCAAGGTTCCAGGGGTTGGTTGCTTGAACAACCCTTGTCTAAACTTGTTTTTTTCCGAGGAATTCCTCTGGTTTTCATTTGTTATGGAAGGTTTGTTCTTTTCAAGGGGTTGGTTGCTTAAACAAGGAAACCAAACAGGGAGGTAAGATGAATCTGCAGGAATGTTTGCGAGCTCCAAGGGAACAGATATGCCTTTGCTGCCCTTCTAGCAGATGGCTCCGTGGTTACTTGGGGTGATCCGCGAAAAGGCGGAGATAGCCGCCAGGTTTCGGAAGCGCTTCAGCATCTCAGTTCAAAGCGAGTCGACCGTATGTGAAGCTTGGTTTGCCAAGTTTGGTCCAAATGTTTAGTGTCCCCTTGTCGTGGCCCCAAAAGCTGAATTCATGACTAATGTATGTATCCTGTCATGGCCGAAAAAAGGTGGACTAATCCTCTGTTTTCAGGTCCTTCGGGCAACTGAGGCAGGTCCAACGGATCCATGCGGCACCCCAAGCCTTTGCTGCAATAAGGGCGGATGGGTCTTTGGTGACCTGGGGCGATCCTCTCTTTGGCGGAGACAGCAGTGAGATTTCGGAGCAGCTGGACTTCTTGTGAAACGCGTGAAGTCGATGTCTTTACACTTTGGATGGGCGAGTCTTTACACTTTGGATGGGCGACGTTGACTCGACTGGAGACTCATGGCCTGTGGCGCCTCTGGCTTCCGCTTCTCAGCTCGTGAAGGACACTGGTGACCGCGCAGCCGAGATCGAAACAGACTGACATCGCGGGTGATGGGCCCAGGATCTGACATCGCGACCCATCCTTTCTGCCATTGCCTTCTGATCACAGAGCTCACGCTCAGAAGTTGCGGGAAGCAGACATTCGACTTTAGAGCGCTTACTTACTGTAGACGAATCGGTTTTGGCCGCAAGCCCAAAGGTCAACCTGTACACCTGTGGCAAGTTGTTGCCACTCAGATGCACCATCCACAGCACTTGCTTCGATGCGTCATGATGAATAGCCTATTTCCTGAGGTGAGTCGAAAGACAAGCGAATCAGCTGAGGACGTTCGATTGTCTTGGGCCCCAAGCAAAGTTGTTTAGTCTTCTGAAGTCTTGGTACAAGGGCTTCCTGGTACCACTATAGTAGGTAACCAGGTGTTTTACCTCTAGGTTTCACATTGGACATAATGATTTCCCCCGGTTGCCTACGGCAACTGGAAGCCCTGGGTCCATAAGGAAACCAAACGAAAGGAGTTGCTGTCAGAGTCAGGGTTTGGACCACACACATTCCCCCTCCAGGCTGGCGAGCCACAATCAAACCCGATGGATGAAGGTGGGATAACGACAACCGTAGGTGTGGATATCCGGCCTTTGAATTCTGTACCACGGTTGTGGGCGGACCATTTAATACCAGTAAAGCCGGAATAAGTTTCAAAAGTATCAGAAATAAAGTTTGGAGCACTTTGTTTTTCCCCTTCTCTCTCCTTTTTTGTTCTTTTCTCTCTCTCTCTCTCTTTTTCTTTCTCTGTCTCTGCCTTTTGCTCTTTACCTTTGTCACTATCCTTTTCTTTATTTTATATTTTTTGTTCTCTATCTCTTTCTCTTCTTTGTTTCCCTTTCTCTTTCCCTTTCCCTTTCTCTTTCTCTGTCTATGTCTTTGCCTCTTTGGTTCTTTCTTTTTCTCTCTCTCCTTATCTCTCTCTCTCTCTCTCTGTCTTCCTTCTTCTTTGTCCTTCTCTTTCTCTGTCTCTGTCTCTGTCTCTCTCGCTTTCTCTTTCTCTTTCTTTGCATCTTTCTCTTTCTCTTTCGCTTTGTCCTTCTCTTTCTTGTGTGCTGGTTGTTCTTTTCTTTTGTTCTCTCTCTCTCTCTCTCGGTCTCCTTATTTGTTTTGTACAACCTTCTCTTTCTCTTTCACTTTCTCGGTCTCTGTCTCTTTTCGGTGGGAGAAAAAGAGAGAGAGAGAGAGAAAGAAACAGAAAGAGACAGCACACAGAAAGGGAACGGACAAACAGAGAAACAAGGAAATAGAAATATATACAAAAAAGAAAAGTAAAGAGAAGAAGAAAGAGAAACAATAAAAGTCAGAGGAACCAGGAGAAGGAGAAAGACAGAAAACAAAAGGAAGATAAGAAGAAAGAGAAGGGGGCGTTGGTAGAGGGTTCACCTCTTTTTTTTTGGTTGCACAATCGAAAGAAGCCGCGCGTTCTCTGGTCGCCTCTAGTCCTAAAGATCAACTACGAAAGTTGCTTCTTAGCTGCATTTGACCAGGTTTAGATGAGGACTCCTGGTGCTGCCAGATATTCCATGGTAAACAAAAAAACACACATGAGGTAAGAAGCCCGAAAAGTTACCTACAGCACACGGACTCTTTCGGTGCGCTGCAAGCCACGCGACTTCTGCCAGTCCTTCGAGCGACCCTTGGTGAAGAAGACCTGCGCCTGCACGCAGGCGAGAGAGATTCGAGATGGCCCCTGGAAGAAATAGATCGGGTTGGCACCTCACAAGTTGGAGGGTCCCCTGTCAAAAATCAAAAAAACCAACTAGAACTTTCAGACGGGTTCGAATAGACCTTCTGATGTCCACACCATGGAAAGGGACCCGGTTGTGGGATTTGAAGGGAAACTGAGAGGAAACCGTTGCCATTGTCCAAGGCCCCCTCAAAAAACACGGACAAATGGATTCTAGTATATAAATGGGTTCCAAATTGTACCACAGGACAATAACGTTTGTAGCATCCGAAAGGGACCCATTTGTTACCATCCATTTAGGGTCGCCAAATGTACATGTTGTTTGTTTGTTGTTTCTGTCACTATGCTTGATTTTGCTGTTGCTGCTTGTTTGGTTCTCGCACGTCACCAGCCATACCCTTATGCCTTAGACTTGTAGACTTAAACAATTAGTTTAGAGGGGGGAAATGACATATCCCACCAAAAGTTGAGCTTTTAGCAAGGGATCAAAAAGCGCCAAGAAAGGCGTTTGCTGTGGCGCTGGAAGGGTTGGTTCAGATTCAAGCAAAGGTTGCCCTGGACAAAGCGAGTCCGGCCTGAAGTTTGGGATATTTCGGACCCTGCCTCCAGTGGATGAGAAGCAGATTGGCTCAACCACTGAAACGGTCTTCATTGTGGTCCCTGTTTGTGTTTGGGTGAGTTGAGAAGCAGAGTTCATTCAGGCCGACTTCGCCTGTGACGTGGGCTTCGTGCGGCAGGCGAGAAATGACAGCCCAACCCAGCTGACCCTGTTTGTCACAGCCCGTTCGTCAGTCCGTTCCTGGAAATGAAGCCAGCAGCAAATGGGATGGTGCAATAGTCGCTTGCCAATATCAAAGCCCCGTACTGAGTATGTTTGTTTAAAGTCGAGATACATTCCAGACCTCCCCTGCCCCAAGCAAAAAACGCGGACCGGCCAGACTCTCACTCCAACCAATCTTATTGGGACTCCGAGTCCTTGCCTTGCCGAGAAGTAAAACAAGGAAAAGGCAAAGCACAGTACAAGTCGCGCACATCAAGACGATTTAACTTAAAGAGCATATCCTCGGACATGGCGACAGATCCTCAAACGAAATTGAAGTATCAATACTGTCCAACATGTTCTAGCATGGGCAACTCACCAACGAAGCAGTTGCCCCCAGGACAATACAACACATCAATTTTTCCCCAATCATGTTTCCGTTCTTAATTATTCTTCAAACAATAATTGGGGAGTGGGACTGTCGAACTGATTGAACCACCAAAACTGGGTTGCTGGAATATCAACCACCCAAAAGCGTGGCCATTTTTCTGTCCATTGGTGAATGGAGAGACAACCTTCGGCCCCTAACACGAGTTTTAAGACAAGTTGGGTCGTTTCGTGTTCCATTCGAGTGCTGGGCGATCTGTTTATTTGGGTGTCTTTTTTGGGGTCCCCTCAAGTTTCGGATTCGCCTTTTGCCCAAGCCTTCTTTTGGCCAAGTTTAGCTTGGCCAACTCACAAATGTCCAGCAAAACTTGGCCAAACCTTGTTCACGGTTTTCAAGGCTTCAGCCAGGCCCGTGTACACACCTTTAAGTCTGCGTCGCTTAAGCTTTCCATCTCGCGCGTTCTAGAACTTTGAGGTAGCCCTGCTCAAAGAGCCTCCAAGTACATGCAAAGATTTGCACGTATATACTAAGGAAACATACCCAAAGTTCAGAGTGCGAGCAGCATCACCAAAAATGTGTTTCGGCACTCCCCCAAGACTACCAAACTCGGTCCCATTTCACGTTGTTTTTTCTTCACGGTTTTACTTGGTCATTCACACTAAAACTCGGTCATTCACGAGTACTTTACGATTACTTCACGGGCATTTCACGGTTCCGTATTTGCACGCAATTCTGCAAGCACCGTATAATTTCAAGTCTGATATCTCTCGAAAGCAAAAAGCAAACTATGCATTTTCGAAATGTTGCCAACGCTGACCCAATTAGGCGTCGATCCCATACCCAAACTGGGCTTTGCAGACATGTGTTGAAATGATCCGATCCAACTTAGTAAGCAAACGTTGCTTGACACACACACATTTTACACACATTTCAACATAACATGCAAATCGATTGCCCAATTATTTTGTCAAGGCCCTAGAAAGAAACACTTGTACCAACGCACACCAAACTTGAGTATTGCATAATATGCACATTGCGCGAAACGTTTGATCCAATCTGCTTGCAAAACTAAAATCGTTCAATCGTGAGTAAAACTCGGTCATATCGCGTGACCAAGTTAAACTTGGTCAAGGAAGGCCAGAGTTTGGTTTCTCTTCGAAACACACCCATTCCCAAGCCTTCGTTGGCCAAGTTTAACTTGGCCAAGTTACACAATTCCAGTAAAGCTCGGTCAAACCGTTTTCACTGTAACTGTATAGGTGTTTTTTCTTAATGGCATCGAGGGCACATGCAAGGTTCGGCTTCAAAACAGGTCGTGGTTTCGAAGGGTACCCTTTTTAGGTTTAAAGGGGAGCCAAAAGGAAAGCCACCATCTAGGGGTGCCAGCGCCCCAAGCTTTCCGTTGAGACGTTGGGACCAAAGCCAAGCCGGACCGAACCCTGATTGCGTGTGGTCCACTAGCTGTAACAAATATTGCTCCGGCTCGCAGTTTGCACCAGCACGCACCCGAAACCCGCCCCAAACCCGCCGTAAACCCACCCACCACGCTCACCCTGACGCCATCGGCAGATCGGCAGGTTGGCTCCATGGAGTGCGTCTTCGGGGGCTCAGACATGATGCCGGAGAGGCTGCTGTGCTCATCTCGGACCAATGTTCAGCCAAGCTTAAAAGGGTACCCTAAGCCCCCGCCCCCCCAAAGAAAAAAACAAAAAGAACAAGAAAAATGAAAAATCGACACAAGCAACCGAGCTGGTATCCTCAACATCAAACCCGGAACCCCGCACCAGAACCGAACCCCTGGTTGATTTCACAAAACAGATGGTGTCTGCTCGTAGCGTTGACTCATCGCTTTTGGAGGGGAACACCCCCCATAAATAGGATGGGTTATGATGGGTTATGATGGGTTATGATGGGTTAACCCAGTTTGCTCTCTTCTGTCTAGCAAAGGAGCCACCTTACATGAACATCCGCAAGGCTTGCGATTTCTCGTGCGGGTCGGCCGGCGTTTGGCTCAAATCCAGGGGAGGCATACGCAGGGTTGGGCAGAATTGGTTCAAACAAGCAGTTCTTGTCCTTTTTAAGGGAATCCTCAAAGAACGCTGGTTTAAACAATTCAACAGGTGTGCGTTTTAAAGGCAAACCCGGAAAGGCCACTGGCTTTAAACACGTGACACGTGTGTCCGTACGGGAAGCCTTTACAGAACCCTGGCTTTATGCTGCAACTTGGGGTCCAAGCCTGGGACTCAGAGCGCACCGCGATGGATTTGGTTTGTCGAAGAGGGATCTGGATGTAAACCTAGTAAGAAACCCGAAGGGTTCTCGACTATAGTGGGAACTGGAACTTGCCGGACCCTTGAACGACCCTTCATCCCATATTTGTGGGGCAACCGCCTTTTGGTAAGGGTATTTTGAGGGGCCAGGTTGTCTCAGCTTTTTGGGAATAAGCTCCATGGGCCGCACCGGCTACGGCGCCGGCAGCGGCGCGGGCGGTGCGCGGGCGGTGCTGGGGCAACGAGCCACGGTGTTGCTGCCGCCCACAAACTTTGAGCAGGCGGTTTTGCAGGGGTCCCTCAGTTCCCCATGTTTGGACCTGGAGAAGTGGCGATATTTTGTTTGAACCTACCAGTAAAAGCCAGTGAGCCCAGCTGTATGCAGATGCAAAAATGGCCTCTTCGAATTGGAGGCTCCGACCGCTCTGAATATCACATGCAAGGGCCCCTTTTTGAAGGCCGTTGAGTTGGGAGGTTGAATTGAGGCAACATTACGCCGAGTGAAGCGTTTTCGGGACATCTCCAGCCATAAATAGGCATTGCAGTGCTACCGTTACCAGGGCATGTCTACTACTGGGTTTTTGACGCAAATTGTTCAGTACCGTTGTTCTTTCCCTTTCTGTCAGGTGTCACTACAAACAAATTGATTGGGGAAAGAACTGAACAAACCTATGATTGAAACTAAAAACAAATGATTGGGGAACCTTACTATACCCATTGTCAGGTACCCAGGTGGCACTAAAACCAAAATTGCCCAACCAAAATGAACTCCGACGATTCTTGACTCGCAGGCCGAGGAGAGCACGCAAAATGCCCCGGACACGCAGCTCACGCTGGAGTGGGCCTATGGCTACGGCGCGGCCGGACTCCACTGGATCTCAGCAGCTTGGGCTGAAGTTGCGTTACTTGAGCGCCTAAATCCTTGCGTTATTCCAGGTAAGGCGACCAAAAAGAATCGCCCGGATCTGCCCGGATCTGGGTTCCCCGTTGTCTGGTCCAGTTTTAGTCATACACCAAAAGGTTAGCCTTTTAGTTATGGGTCCTGAGTAGTAGGTCCTACTGCCTGGTTTTTACGGTGTAGTGAGGACTAAGTAAACCTGGTAACCATGCTGGTAGAACTAACAAACCGCAGGCTTCGGCTCTCAAATGCGAGGTTCAGTGAAAATACCTTCAGCCAAAACTTGGTGCATTAGATAACAAGGGTTTCTTGCCTTGGGTTGATGGTCTCTGATTACCAACCCTGGCGAACCGCCTGGAGGCACTGGGCCTGGGGGGACAAGCTTTATATGTTAGCCACCAAAGCCAGGGGGCTCTAATTTGTCCCTGTCCAGAAGGATTATTAGCAACACTTGCATGTTGTGTCACAAGTTGGATCCTGAACAGCCTTCAAACCACCACTTAGAGTACGTATCATTTATGGAGGTTGTCACTTTACAATAGCTCCCTTTTTGGTGGTTTCGAACATCAGCTTTGGTGAGTTTTCCTCAGGGATGATGTTTTGAGGTTCAAATATCAAGGGCATTTGCAGGTATGGTTTTTGGAGTAATGGACCATGGATGCTTAAATACCGCCAAAAGCTTGTTGGGCAGTGTATGCCCCTTAAAGTGGTTCTTTCACCTGGAAAGCCCCTCCCCATTGAGTCCCATGTGACTTGGTGGTTCTTTCACCTCCCTCCAGGACCCATCCCTGGAAAAGCCAGCTTGAACATATCCGGACTCCCCCGCCCCCATGGCTTGGGAGTAAAAATAAAAAGAGACATCCTCCGGCACCCTCCCAAATGTCCATCCCCATACTGTCCAAAAACAAAGCTGGGTGCTTCTCCGGTCAACTGCGGTCCTAGGAGGATGAGTTTGTCTTCCCGGTGGCGGCGCTGGGAGTGGTTCAGTGCCTGAAGCCAGCCGCTGGGATGGCTCTCGATGCGCTACCAGCTGAGTGAGACTGCAAGTCAGTCACACCACGCGTTGCTAGTTGTTTTGACAGTTTTTTTTCCGAGTATTTCGAAATGAACGTTTGGAAACACCGATTTGTTGGAGGCTTCATTTGGAGATATGTTCATTGCCAAACTCTTGCTACATTGTGCCCTTGTAGTTTTCCGTCATTGTCTTGCTCCCTTTCAACTCGCAAACACTTAAGATTTTGCCTCTCTGACCAAGTGTTGGAGCTTGCCTTTGGAGACACACCCATTTGGATCTCTTTGTCACATCTTTTTTGTTTTTTCATGGACGTGCATATTGGGTTGGAAGCGGCTGGAAGGAACAGCAGGCTGATCAGTCTCTGCCCAGAGTTCACCCCCGGAACCATTTCGTACTGAGTTACTGGTGGACCTGGGCTGTTTTTGTGTCCCCTAGTGACACACCCATTTGACAACATTGGCCCCGCTACCCACGGATTCTTTTTTGCCTGTGGTCAAGGGAATCCAAGCCCCACTTGGTTTGACAGAGCGGCCAGAATATCTAGAGCCCCATTTCCTTTTGTCCCTTTTCGCCCCAAACATTCCCCAATTCATAACCATGACAGGTATATGTCTGTTTTAACTAGCTAAAGGGAAGGCCCTACCCCAATTCAGCTTAGCATGTATGTGTCAAAGATTCCCCAATTCTTAGTTCTGAGTTGGCAAAACTTGAACTTTTTGTTGGTTCGTCAGTTAAACGGCCCAACAAGCAACTTTTCGCCCGATTCACTCAGGTCAGATTCTCAATTTTGGAGGTTCCCCACGGGCGGCCCCTTCCTCTCTCGTGAGCCTTTCCAAGGCGAAGCAGAAGTTCTTCATCGGCCACAGCAAGAGGAGCCTGGGATGCTTTGTTGGGACCCAACCCTTTGAACCCGTGGTCATGGGGTCCTTAATCGGATCTATGTCTTTCCTCAATTCTAGGGATCCTTGTTTTGAGAAAAGCAACTACTCAACAAACATATGCTGTGGTTGTTCATGACAATGTGAGACAGTTTCTTTCAACTCTCCGAATTGTTCCGTGGCGCTCTTCAAATCCCGACTGGTCACCAGACAGCAGCCCCAACTCATTTTGGCTGTGTTCTTTGGTTTCCCGTTGAAACACACTCAACAAGGAGCACCACCAACAAATCACCCATGTCCAGCTTTGGGCTTACTTGCTGCTGGTGGGGTGAAAGGAACCTGGCGGATCAGCTTTTCCTCGACTGGGCAAACTTTCAACATTTCGTGGCAGGTGTCTTCCTCATGTCAGTCAAGGCCCAAAAAGCGTGAGCCTTTTTTTGCCAGGAAATTCAGCAGGCCAGACATTGCCTGTGATTCCAAGCGACGCCCTGCTGGCTTTGAGCTTTGACCAGAATTGCCGTTTGGGAACTTCGAAAACTAACCCGCGCACCAGCAACAAGTGAATCTTTGGGCAGGTTAAAACTGATCCAGTTTTTACTTTTCAGCCTTGGGGAAATGACGGGAGTTTCCCATCAACTAGCAGGACAGCTTGAACACGGGCGTTTCGCAACACCAAACTTTCAACCAAAGTTTGAGTTGTCTTTCGTTTCTGCCTGGGACCAAAACAATCGTTTACCGTAAGTTCTTCCATCTTTGGGATGTGAACGACCCAAAGGCTTCTTTTCCACGAATTCCCAGGCCTCGTTGGGTGCTATTTGAGGGCCACACTTGTTTTGGCCCATGCAGGGGGGCGAGGGGGGGCGGATTTTCCCATTCGAAGGATCCAGTGCCCCAAAGAATTGGCCCCAAAGAATTGGCCCCATCCTGGTCGCCCACTCAGTGCGGCCAGTTGCAACTACAGGCTCTTCGGCATCCGTATTTCTTTGCCTCCAGCTGAGCCACAGTCAAATCGTGGGTGAGTAAGGGATATTCCCGACCGGAAATGGGTGCAGCCGCGTTTAATTCTTGCATGGTTCCGGGCAGACCATTTTAATACCGGGTTTTGATTATGTCTCAGCTCCTTTCGGTTTCTCATGGTTTCCCCTTATACCATGGCTTGCCTGGCAAAACAGGGCTTGTTTAACTGGCTTATCATTTCCAGTGGATCCCAAAGGGACCCCCCTTGTTCATTCAGGGAAACAAAAGGGAAACCATCCATTGCTCTGAATCCCTTTCATTTCTCCTAGGGCAACTTTGTGTTGATTGGGCTTATAAAGGCAAACCAACACACAAAGGACACCACCTGGATCCAGAATGTTGAGGTAGTTTGACGGTTTAGGCCAGGCACCCATTTGGGGTATGAAAAACATGAACTCCATCCCGAAGCTTAGCTCCCGAGCTCCCGAGCTCGCGAGGATCACGTGCCTCAGCTACTGCGCTTCGGCGCGGCTCTGTGCCAGCGGGCAGATGGACCCCAAGGGCACGGGAGGCGAATCCATTTCGCGGCGAATTCCTTTTCGTCGCGAGCGTAGGCGGTTCTCCGGTTGGGTTTGCTTTCAAACCATGGACAAAGGTGTACCCTCGGAGAAAAGAAGGGACGCAGATCACCTTTTTGGAGGCTTTGAAACGTTGTACCTATTTGGCCCAGGGTGAGTTTGCCTTGGGGTATGTGGCCCGCAAAAAAGCCAGCCCATTTGTCGGCTATGGGTAGGTGTCCCAGCGAAGTGGCGTTTCGCCACTATGATTAAGGGAAGCCATGAGAAGCCTCAACCCAAGGCTTGCCTACTCTATGTATACAAATAGGGATTTGGACAACCCAAAATGACTTTGGTTTGCTTTTGGTTTCCCTTTAAACCACCCCCAGAAACCCTCAAACCTGCCCCTGGTAACCGCAAGCACCAGGTGCGCCTTGTAAGGGTCCAGCGCAGACACCACCGACACAAAGGGTGCGCCAGATCCTTTCTCGGTTGATTCTACTTGTCTAGTGGACCCCTAGTATATCCTGTAGACAAGCATTTGAAGTTAAATCCTGATTAAGGGAGTTTGGACCCAGGAGGCGTTTTTGTGGGTTGGTTGCCTCAACCTCTGAATTTCGGGCGCCCGGAGGTCCTTTCATTTGCCTCTGGCGGCCGGCGGATTGCATCCTGCTCTCCGTGCTGGCCTTTCCTATGCACGAGGCCCCATCTCAGAGCTCCCTATATTTGCATCACCCCAGGAGGAAACTCGGCGTCTAAGTGGGAGATATGCGGACCCCTGCCCTCCGATATGGATCGAATCGGTTTTGGGAACCGCCCAGCAAATTCCCTGGTCGGAAAGAGGGTACTGGGAGCGGCAGAGGGCTGATGCAGTGCAGGTGAGGTCTACACACCTGGGCAGGCTTATTTTGGATGATCCTAATCCAAACCTCATGTGCGCTTCACCATTCCTTTTCCTTTTGGTGTCTTCTACGGTGATGATCTCTCAAACAAAATGAGACAAAGCTTTGAAGTATACGTTTCTATGCTGCCAACCCGATAAGCAGAGGCGCCCACCCTGGGTTTGGCGCCATGTTTTGCCCATTGAGGGGGTGTGGGAAAGGGTTGTTTGTGTATGGCAGTCGTGGAAGGGCAGTGTGTGCATTTTCTTTGCCGTCCAAACCGACTGATTCAAAACGAAGGTTCAAGCAGTCAAGCGTTAACACCTGTCATGTTTTCCATGTTAAAGTCGTGAGCGGCAACAACGCCCGGAGCATTGTTTGTACAGTGCATTCCCTGTTTCTGGTAGATGTATGATCGCCTTTCTTCATCCGTGTCAGGACCTGCTCAAAGTCTTGTCTTTTCTTGCTGGTGCTCAGCAGGGAATGAGGAATGACCCCTATAAACTATCCCCTTTGGTTTCCTTCAAGGGAATCCCTAGGTTCATTCCCTCATTCCTTCCGAGCACCAGCAAGTTTTCCCCCAACAGCTGAAAGATTTGGTGTTCGGAGTTGGACCAGGCTCCGGAAGCGGTCCGGAGGTTGCGAGCTTTTTGACAGAGCTTGGTTGAAGGTGTTTCGTGGCAGCTTTCCTAAGCTGAAAGCCTGGAAGAACATTTGTAGCTTCGTTTGATGGAGCCGGTTGTTTATGCATGTTCGGCCTTGGCGGCGATTTTTTGGAGACCGGCCTTTTGCTGATATGGTCGTTATAATGGCAGGTGCACAGTTTCCGCTTTGGTCCATTGTTTAGTCGAGGCCCCAAATTGTTAACAGTTTACAGGGCTCCCAAAACGATATATTTGCGGTCAAACAAAAACCCAAGTACCAGCAACCGAGGACCCGGGGATCCTCGTAAAGGTGTTTTCGTGTGTTTCCTTCTACTGGACCCTTGTTCATTTCCAGGGTCCTGCTTCTGGACCCTCAGTCAGTTGGGTTTGGGCCGTGGCGAACAAGTCCAATCCACGAGGTCGGAAGTGAGTAAAGGGCTATATGTTTTACAGGCCCCTCCACAAAAGTATCATATTAATGTTTCAGAGTACTCCGGATTTGTGCCAAGCCTTGGCCCTTCTTTGATTGACCAGTGTCGGCCCTTTGGCCCCTCCTCCGGCCCTTCCTTCAGTCCTTCGGCGCTGAAAAAGAACCGGGTATGGGTCAAAATTAAGCCACCAGGGGACCGCGGGTTTTGGTCCATTCTGTTTACCAGGGTTCCATTTTGGGTACCTATTTTTGACCCGCAGCTCAGCGCCAGGAGCAGATCTGCTCCTTGTGCTTCAGCCCCGACGGCAGCCAGCTCTTCACCATGGGCCGAGCCCGGGCCCCGGGCCCCGAAGGGCCGGGGGGTCGAAGCGCCAAAAAGGCGACCTGAGGGATGAGGGCGCTGGGCAGTAGACTCGTTTCGATGCCCAAACGGTGCCCACTACGTGTACATCCCTTTTCTGAGTGACATGGAACCTAACACATGTCTTTTAAGCCTCTTTTCTAAGCGGACTGTAACATTTATCAATCCTGGGTGGCCGACGATTTCATTCTTCGTGGACTTCTCCCGTTCCCTAGCGATCGCTGACCGCGAATCCTGGATTGCTTTGGGAAAGGTTCTGGGACGGTTTCTGTTCCAGAGGCATGGATGTGTGTTGTGAAGTTAAGTTAAATGGTTAGCGACTTGGGTGAATTACCCACAAGGGTTATTGGGTTACAACCCAGGTTTCCGGCAATCTCAATATCCGGGCTGGGCATCCGGGCAGGGGTCTATATGCAATGGTTGTGTTTTTTTGAGAGGAACCCGTCTTGTTCATGGTTTTAATGGAACACCTAAAGGACAACCCTCCCACTGTGGGGGGCCCGTAAAAAAATTAGACACCCCCGTATATTACCCTGTTCACCTGTTTGAACATCACCTGTTGGGCCAATTCTGGATGATTCTCCTATTAAGGAATGTTTAAGGGGGAGCTACTTGCTGATCAGCCTGGAGCTTTCAGGAACGAACTGAACCATCCCTTTGTCCCTTATATTGATCCCCAAAACACGTGTTTATTTCCCACAACCCCTACGATGTTCCCGAAACGAACCTTGAACTCGGCGCCCTCAGGACCGCACCAACACCTTAGCGCTTTGGGAGAGCGTCTTGGCTACCGGTGCTTTGTGACCCAATCCAAAGGCCCCCCATTTTGGGATCTTTTTCCACCCCAGCCACTGCTTTTTGGACAGTACTTGGGATTTTGGAACGGAAAAAAGCAGCTGTTGGGGCGTGCTGGTTGGTTAAACCATTTTTCGGCTTTGACACAGTCTACAAAAGGTGATGGACTGTTCGAGAGAGAAGATCGGCGTGTCTTGAAGGAGGGCTTAGAGGGAAGCCAAAAGGAAACCAGCCAGTGTTTGAGACATATGGCACCTGTGAGTAATCCCCTGGTTTTTTGGGAAGATTCAGATCGAGTGGAACTTGCAGCCGAACAAAGTGACTAGCGGCGCTTTTCAGGGCCTGAGGACATCTAAGCACCAGCATGCCATTGCTTGTCACAGCTCCCCTTGTGGCTCTAAATCAGTAGAAGCGGACATGCCTTTTGACGACTGTCTTTATTGGACGAGCAAAACCTTCGGGCTTCAAGGTTTGGCCCCAAGAAGCACCCTGAACAACTTACCAAGGTCTTGGAAGATCAAGGTCTTGGAAGATCAATGTTAAGATGATGTGGTCGTGTTGAAGTCCCAGTCACCTAGCTTGGTGTGATTTCTGGAGCCAGACCCTGACACCATTGCTCCGAACCTCTATAACGAAACATGCGGAAGGGCAGACAATTGGTGAGCAGCTTTCTTGGGGAAGCCACAAGGTAAACCACCCATTTTGCTTCCTCCATTTTAAGAGCCATCCATTATTGGTTCCTTCATTTTTGGCAGGTTCCCAGCCATGTTCCTTAGACTTTTAGCCATTTTCCAGAGTTGGGTTTATCACATATCCCCACCTGCCGATGTTTGTTCGCCAGACATCCGGCCAAGGCTTCCTGCCGCTGAAGGCGGGGTTCCCGGTCAGCAAGGCGTTGACGGACCTGCCCAAGGTCTTCCGGAAGCCCTTGGCCAAGGTGGGACGTTGGTTTTGTGGCGCCAGTCTTTGGGGTGTGTCCGATCTGTTGGTTTGAGGATGCTACTTTGTGGGACTGTTTCTGGGGTCAAAGTCAACCGAGGATGTTCCCTTTAGTCGATTCGGTAACTTATGACAAAACCAGGTCCAAGGGGCCAAGGCAAAGAGACAAGGACCTGTTGCACGATGCTTAAGGGAATCTATTACTACTAGAGATATTGTTCTTGTTCGCAGAAAACTTAAGCAAGTCGAGGAATATGAAAAGGAGTCTGAATAGATTGATTTCTGTGTGCACCAGATGAGTCAAGGAAACCCATTGCGCTTATTTTGCGCCAATCTTGAAGGGAACCAAAGGGAAACCACCTATTCTATACTCCGGTTAGAGACCCGATACCAAGCTTTTGAACCAGTTCCGATTGCTTAAGTTGCATATCTAGAGAAATCCAGACCTCCCCTGTTGTGCCATTTTTTCTTTCTCAAACCCGCCGTCAGCTGCCTTCAACTGGGCTCTGGACCCCGCGAGTTGGATTTAGGATCCAAACAAAGCAGTGATTCCAGGCAAGCCACTGGTATATAACCCTCCTGAAAAACGAAAACCCTTGTTGGCATGTTTGTTTCGCCTTTCTAGGGTGACTGGAGGCCCTCACTGGGCACTGGGTTCAGCCACCCCCTCTGTTGCCAACAAGAGCTTTTAACGCCTTTTGCCTTTTTGGGTTCCATAACCGTATAGTACACATTGGCCTTGTCTTTTCCCAAAATGCCGACATAAAAGTCACCGAGGAGACAACGCATGAGGAGATTGCTCGCTTGGAACCCCCTGCCTCAATACCGCTTCCAGCTCCCTTCTGGGGCGACCCTCGCCGCCCTCCTTTTGCTAGCATTTCCTTGGCTGAGCTGTTGGTCTCTTTCCGACCCGCTCTCTCCGGCCCTCTCCTACCAGCCCAACGTTTACGGAAGGGATTCATTGCCCCAATCTTGAAAGAGGCCCTCTGGCATATGAGATCAAAGCCTTTTCCCTTTTTGCATGAGTTCTCTTTCGGGGGCTCCTTTCATCTCGTGTCGGCCTTGCCAAAGTGTTTGGACGTGGTCTTAGTGTCCAGGGCTCACGTGCTTGAATTCGTGCCGGGTCTGCACACTTGCCTTCTTCTTCCCGCGATGGCACCTCCCTTGGCGGTCAAGGATGCCCTTCTCTCCCGCTTTGGCCTCCTTGCAAGCACTCTTCGCACTCGACGCTCCAAGTCGTCGCAATGATCTTTGTCCCTGGTTGGTCCCGCTGTGTGTTCCGTCTCACGCGCCCTACAACTGCCAGAGCGCTGCCTTTGCATGTACTGTACCTCACGTTCATTCATTCTGGTTAGATGCTCGTTTTCGACCGGTATCCTTACCAACCATATATAGCGACGCGGGAGCAATACAGTTTGTTGCTCGCAGGTCCAAGTCTGGTCAAGCTTCACGCTGGCCGCCAGGTCTCCACAGGCAAAGTCCCCGCCTTCGGCATGGCCGCGAGCGGATCGAGCGCCAACTTCCAGTTCGCCACCTACGACGCAGGATCGACGGGTGGATCGGAGTTGGTTTGTTTTCCAACGGGTCATTGGCCCAGTCCCGTGCTAGGCGTGGCGTGGCATAAGGGTGGATGTAATCATAGGGGGAAGGGAGTTTAATCATGCTGAAGGATGCTATAGTGCTAACTGGAAGCAATGGGCGGGAGGATGAAGCATTGATTTGCTCTTGGACAACGGGAATGTCAATCTGAAAATACCAGGAGCACTGAGTAGTCCAAAAGGAAGTCCGGCTATTGTAACATCCTGGATTTTCAAGCCACTGTGCAAAGTGTCCATTTGTCCTTATTCCAGCCAGTGACGTGTTGATAATTTGTCCAGAGACATAAGGCCCCGTTTGGGTTCTATTCAGCGGGTTCCGGCTTGCACCACAGGACAATGTGTAGCATCGTAAAACCCATTTGAGACACGGTCAATTGTTATTGTGTCACGGACTGACATGAGAGTTTGGTGACCAACCCCCAATTTCCTAGTGGTACCCTAATTACTTGGATGAGTGCGCATGTCATCCTTTGCTACCGTTGACAGCAACCATTGACGGTTGCTAGTCTCAAGCACATGTACCTTCTTTTCCATCATCGAAGTGGACGAGGTGGTGGCTTTTTAACAAGTCAAAAAGTCTGCCAAAGCCCTCCTGTCAGCCTCCATGATTGCTGGAATCGGAGAAACACCAACAGCAAAGACGTCTTCCAGCCTTGTCAGCTTCCATGACTGGAGGGCCCAAGCGCAGACTCGGTTGAAAGTACCCGCGAGGCCGCGACAGGTCCTCGGGGGTCCTCTTGAAGTTCTGGAGCGTCTCGCAGGGCGCGCCTCAGCTGGATGAGGGTACCCGATTTTAGTTTGAAAGGGAAGACCAAAAGGACACCAGTGCCATTTTTCGGGAACGCCAAACTATGGTTTCGGGTAGACTAAAAGACAAGTTCCTTTCTGTGGCCGAGGCAAAAAAAGAAAGCGAGCTTGCCTTTGGAAGAGTGCTTGCTTTGTCCACGGCTACCGGGCAAACAAGAGGGCAAATAGGATTGCGCTACTCACTCAGTTGTGTCAGACTCACAGGGATCACTGTGGTTTGCTACCCACTTGGAAACACAAAAATAGGGACAGTACCGCACTTTGGAGACCACTGACCAAAAGTGCTGTGATGTCCTGTACTGTCCCTAAAAAAAAACAAAACAATATTTCAGATGACCTTCCCAAGCTGAAAAATGCAAAAAAAAGAGTGTTTTTTCTTCACATGATCAACACACTTCAATCACACATCATCTGCAAACTTCTGCTTGCCTATCCTTCTTCGGGCTCAAACTTGCTGCAAATACTGTATGAAAATGGATACTAAAACCAAAACATCTGCTAGCATCACATCTTGTCCAGGATCAACCCATCTGACAAAAACAATGTCAAATCTAAACGAATTCCGTTTTGCTTTTCATCTGCTTCAAACAGTTGAAAGCTGGCAGTGTTTTAGCTGTGTTCAAAGCTGAGGGTGGATCTTGGAAAGGGGGGGCGACCATATATATATATATATATATACATATGTATATGTACATGCAGTTGTATGTAAAGATATACAGACTTAAATACATAAATACAGAAATGCATACATGCACTCATGCAAACCTGCATACGTGCATACATGAATGCGTACATACATAAATACATTCGTACATACATGCATGCATGCAAACATGCACACATGCATACATGCATACATGCCATGCATGCATGCATGCATTCACTATGCGCATACACATACTCTAACGTGCATTTATGCGTGTTTACACTCAAGTATATGAATATACATATATATATATATACATATGTACAATACATATGTATATGTATTATATGTATATACATATGTATATTATGTATACGTATGTGTATTATATATACGAATGTGTATATATATATATATACACGTATGTACACTATTTTTACATATTCATATATGCACATAGGGGTCCATAGGAGCTCCGTGGCCGCGGCGCGATCTTCCCGGCGGCGGAGCAGCCGCGGCACGTGTTGAACTGCGCGTGGATAGGCGCCTTGCGATTCGGGTCAACTGCAGTTGGTGGGTGTCTTCTTTTGAGGGCACCCCGTTTTTTGGGTTTCAAAAGGGACATCAGAAGGAACATCACCATCTTGGGGTCCCCTAAAAATGACACGCCTAACTGCCTATCTCACTTGTCATTTTTTTGAGCTAGGCCCCCCCAGTAGTTCCCTTTTACCGATTCATTTTTTGGGGAGGGTTCTTCTACTAAAATCGACTACAGAAAAAAGTACCCTTATTCAAACCTCTCTACTGGAGGACCTACTGAGGGTAGCCCGCTTTTTGGGGTTTCAAAAGGGACATCAAAAGGAACACCACTAAATCTGGGGGTCCCCGAAAAAATGACACACGCAACTCTATCTCACTGGTGTGGAAGGCAAACACAAAGCTTGGTTCCTTGTTTGGCCAATCCATTCAGGAAGTAGGTGGTTCCTATAGGCACTAAGGGGAACCACATGCCAGTTGGGTCCCAGCAAGGGGGGCGTTATCCCTTGACTTCTTCATCCCAGCCGTGGGAGGGCGTGTCCAACCACAGCCGTGAATGGTGTTCCTCTAAGTGTCGGCTCCATGTGTTGGAAACGCAAAAACCTGGTGACAGGAGCTGGGGTGACAGCTGGGCTTGCCCTTTCCAACAATGGTTCCGACGAGGAACCCAGGCACAATTTTAGCATGAATCCTTTCAGACTTTCGGGCACCATGGGCACCAATCTTCAAATACATGGTGTAAACTATCGGCCCAACTCAACAATTGCCAAACCTGGGGTAGACCTTTGGCCTTTTGTGACCCGCTGTCCAAAAGTTTAGGTGTTTTTTTTTAGCAACGGGTTGATTGTCGTTTGAAGGGGATTCGGTCGCAAAGAGGCACAGAAAAGGATCAACATGCTCGCACCGCAAAGAGTTGAGTCCACTTCCAGTTTCATTCCCCCGGTATAAACCTGAGGTGACTTGGATGGGTCTAGGAAGTGAGACTTTCAGAAAAGCCATGGGGAATGTTGGAGCCGCAATTGTCCCCATGTGGCCATGGGTCAAAACCCCGTACCCCCAGTGCACATCCCAATCCCCACAAAAACAGACTAAAATGAGTGATGCAATTATCCCCAAATGGTACCATTGGTTTTGAACCATGGCCATGTCAAGGGGGGCAAACGCGATACGAATCAGGCGCCGGCACGAGGTGCCTGGCCTGCGGGGACAATGGGTGCCTCTACATCTTCGAGGCACGGATTGTCCGGAGTTCCTCGCTCCCCGAGTTCCGCTTCGCATGGATTTCGGTTGTCCGTTGGTTTCCCTGTAAACCCGCCAAGAAAGGATACCAACTAAAAAAAAAGGACAGACCCGAACGGGCTTGTGACTGAGGCCTGCTTGAAAGCTACGCAAGGTAAGAAAGCGGTCGGATGATCATTCTTCGGTGGGGCACTGTGCAGTGGTTGAAAAAAGGGTAAGTCCATTTCATGTTGACCCCGGATGAGTAAACCCCTCACTGAAAGGGTACACAACCCTCGTTGCCAATCGGCCGGGGAGTTGTTGATGTGGGGTCAACATTATACATCTTGCTTGATCCAAAT